TGTCCGCCGATGCCTGGTGCGAGTGAGGAGTGACGGCCAGCGTTATCATGCGGTGCTGCGACCCATGGGAGAATTCTGGAATGCTTAAACAAGGTCCTCAGCACTGGAAACTCCGCCGTGGGCATTGATGCAAGAAATGAGCGGTTAGCAGCGAGGAGGTACATAACGCCGTCTTCTGGTGTCGAGTACCATTCTTTTTCTCAACGACTTCAATATACTGGATTTGATCAGCCAACTCGCTCGCCACTTTCCGCTAAAACCACGAATCGGATTGTGTAAGCACCCAAGTGACGCCTTGGCTTCTGGTCGCGCCGGCTGAGTGTGGTACTGCATACAGCACCAGAAGACATGGTGCGGCACAGTTGTGAAGAATCATGAGGATGGTCCTAGAGTCTGACGTCAATGCCACAAAGGCCAACTGCTCGTATGAGCTCGTCCGATTACTGCTCGGTTGCCGATGGACCTCGCTGATGGCAGTTCTTGGTGCCCAAATCCCACATTTCAGCATGCAGAGGTGGGGATAACGCGTTGTTGGAAAACAAGGCGACCACATACTCTCACTGGCCTGGGTACGTTACTGAAAGTGCTCTCGATGTTTGAAGTTGCATCCGTTCGGGATTGAAGCCCTGCGAACCATCGCCCTGAAGAGCATCATGTCCTCGAACTCGGCAAACTTGGTGGGCGCTGATACGCGGACTGCTGGAAACACCGCCGGCCAGCCTTCTCCAGTTCTCGCAGCAGTGCAAGGACTGCGTTGTGGCCCCTGTCCAAGTACTGACCTCGAGAATACGTGAGTCAGTGCGTTCATGGTCAGCCAGGTCCAGGAATTTGAGCAGCCGATCATTGCTCTTATATGTGCGAGTATTCTACTGGTAAAATCAACCGGCGGGTTTACTGAATAACAGCAAGTACGTGAGGTCTGTCTTTGCACGCGGATGGGATGGCAAGGCACGCTCGAACAGCGAACGCACACGGGAGTCATGCTCGGCCTTCTCGCCTTCCACAGGACGGCAACTGATCTCCTCGCCTGTCAACCTATCCTCGTCGTCCCATGCAGCAGCTCCGGTACGGTATATATTTGGATTGCCGGGGGCTGTTGTCGCTCTATCGGCGACAGCTCGGCGATGCTCGGCATGCCGCAGCCTGTCCTGAGAATCCAATGTCTGACACCGTGTTGCCCACTTGATATTGTAGCGACGTCGGTATCAAGAAACCTCTGAAGACTGGTGCCGTGCGGCGAGCTCAGCTGTGGCTTTAATAATACTAATATGGTCCTTTGCTTGCTTCCTGGTGGATCGAATCGACAGAGCGAGAGACCTCCGCCATGACTATCTTCTTGACGGATATCAACATAGAGCCATCGTTGGCTATGCCGTGACGAGGGAATCCAAACTGGCCGGTCTTGCCGTGGAGATCCTTGGTGAGGCTGCCCAAGTGGACCGTTTGTGTGCTATTGTCCCGACCTCGGCTGATATGCACGTTTTGGCCACACTGTGTACCATTATGGTCAGACAGTTTGTCGGAGGCAGTCCATTCGATATTCGACAGATTGTGGGGTGTACGCATCGATCCATGACGACGAGATTGACAGGGCTGCTAATTATGTTGTACGTGATGCTATGATGCCGAGGCAATGTCGACGCCCGCAGCGAACGTGCCCTCGCCGTCTCAATGCAGCCTGGTGGGGTCGAAAGGATTCTTTGAAGTGTTTCCGATGTGTTCCCAATGTAGGAAAAGGATATCCGGCTGCACTGTTTTGTTGCTCGTGGACGCTGCTTCCCTATCGCGCTGTCGGGCTCGGGCGTGAGCCATATGGCGCTTGCGACCGCAGTCAACTTGTTTCTGTCAACTACTGGGACCTCGCCGCGATGACGGTGTGGCCAGGAATCGGGATTTTTTTACACTATACGAGGCCATTATTACGGCATTAGTCGGGTGCTACCTGTCTTACGGCCTTGACTGCTATCACGATCATACCTGGCCTTGGATATATAGCCACTCCACTCCGTCTGCCTGTCAAACGTACATGGTGCATAAGGGCGGGAAGCCATGATTAGGCAAGCCTATTGTGAAGATAATGAAGATAACTATATACTTTCACAACATACACCAAGCCACGGCTGGGTTTTAATGCTCAGCCAGTTTCGCTGTCTCGGTCGAATCTCATTCCAGTCGAGTGCACGCCGTCCAACTGTGTATCGGCGCGTTTGCTTTCTCAGCTGGTAGTCTTTGAAGATGCGAGACTCGCTCTGATGGCGCTGGCTGAGGTCAGATGGGTACGCTGGACTGTCGATGAGCGGTTGGGCACTGTCTTTCGCATATCGGTTTGCCGCCTCCACGGATAGTGGGTGCGCATGAGGGAACGACAAGCCCACTGCGGACAGGAATGTTTGTGTGTCCGACCTCGACCGTTTCAGTGTACCATGGTCGCAAAGTGAAGGAATGGTGTCCTTCAGTGGCCTGGGAGGCGCTGGACGAGGACCAACTTCAATCAAGTCTTTGACCAGCTTCGCAAGATGCTGCATGGCCTTGCAAAATCACATAGGAGAAAGGAGGTTGTCAGTCCAATGGTCTGATGTCGTCCATCTCTCGGAAGCGATAGTTCTGCCCGTAGCAGGGCTCACTAATTCAGTTGTTTGGGACTGCGGCTCGCCAGAGTCCAGAGCACCGATCAATGCTCAATACTTACTTGCTATGACGATGCCGACGGATTCTCCATAATCTCATATCTCGGGAAGCGGGTAGAAGATTTGCCAGAAAGTCATGACAATGGACGGTACGCGATTCCTGTTGGTATAATCTTGACGAAAGAACCTCGTTGGTGAAGATAGCTTTCCAGTGTTCTGGTGTATCCGACGGGACTTGACAGTGTGACAGTCGTTGGGCTGTTAACGCAGGCGACGCAGGCATTACTCTCGCGTTTGATTGACCAAGCTCCTTGGTGAGACTTGACACCTCAGCTTTGGTCAACTTTGTTGACATCATTGCTCCGATGGCATCCGCCAGCGTTCCATCCAGCTGGCCTCTGGAATAAGCCACTCTGCACGCTGCTTGATGGGAAAGGGACCCGACGGTATCGGCGGTTCCTGTTTCTCCTCTCGAGTGCCTGACTACTGCGGTATCAGACACGCCGAAGCTGCAAATGAAGTGCACCAGAACGATCTGCAATGCTGTGCACACTGGCTGGCGTAATTTAAGAAGATGGATACCACGCTCGCGGGAGGGTATATCTGAAAAGGCGGCCTAGCAAATGCAACTTCACTGTGCAAACCTTCGGCGATCGAGATGATGATAAGGCGACAGCTGAAATGGTGTTCACTTCGTATGGACCACTCTGCATCCAGGCTGGTGAATATGTATTCCGACGCCTGAGGGCTGGCCTCGAAGACAGGGTACTGCAAGAGCTCAAACCCCACTCTAGCATATTGGGCACCGTGGCCAGTGGATACAAACCCGACCGACGCTTTGTCCGATGATGACCGTACGGACGATGTACGCATGAGATTCTCATCGACACCGTTGATTACTGCAACCGCCCGCTAGGACATTATGCTGCGTTGGTCGCCAGAGTGTAGGCCAGCTGGCTGAGTTGGGAGGATTGCTCGTAACCTTGGGCTGATGGTAGTCCTGATAGGCTTTTAGCAGGATTGGCTCCGCCACGCCATATTGTTTGATTGAGATCTTTTGCAAGCCGTGCGTTGGGCGAGCAGTAGAACGAGTTAGGATCTGACAATACCTCAGGCGAAAGTCTCCATGGATTCCGATAGGATAGCCGCACCTGCACGTTATAGAAACCGGCATCGATGTTCCCTTTGAGCGTCTCGAAAGGAGTATTGACCGGCTCAGTACCAGGATAGCCGTGACAATGGATGTCAGACTGCTTCCGTTCCCCGTATGGCCGATGTTTGGCTTGACTGGTCGTCTATCCTATTGAAATTGTCAATTAGGACGTTCGCAAGGATAAGAGCCTTACCTCACACACATACGGCCCTTTCGGCTGACCGCAACGAGCGAAACACGCTGCTAATGGCCGGCATCTCATTATCACCGACGGGCTGCAGGTCCTGTTGGAGACGACTTGACGTGCTCCGACCACGTCCAAGTACCGTTTCTGTTCCTGCAGGAAAGCGTACTCTCGGTTGGTACGCCATTTCTGGGCCACCTTGCAGGAAGAACCGTAGGACCAACCATGAGCCTCGATGTATCTTATGTCTTCGAAGCCAAGCCCAACCTGGTAAGCTTCGCGGGTCAGCGCTTCTTCTGTGTCGGTGCTCCGCTGTGTGAGGGTCAGAGTCCGCCCGTCGTGGTTTGAAACAATAGAACGCACAACGGCACGTGTAAAGTCTCCGTTATTCAGGGCGTCGGCCAACGGATTGATGGCAACATCGACGACACCTTCGCCTCTGAAATAGCCGCTGGTCGCTCGTCAACACTGAAACGGCGCGCCGGGGGACATCAAGTTCATGTTGCGCAGCAATACGGAGTTTTCCGGACGTAGCATGACATTGATGCCTGTCACGAGTGCCTGACGCGATGCACTGCATCAGCACCGCATTTCTTATATTCGAGGATGTCCCTGATTGAGGGGTCGTCAGCCTACAACAGTGACGTTGCCTTTCCGCATGGCCTGGCAAGCGAACCCCATCGCCACCGTGCTCCCAGATCCGCGTTGAGGCTTGTCGAGTGTCAGGCAGGGCAGCGGCGCTAGTCCGGTTTGGGCGTTGGTCTTGGCGGCTGCAACTCCCCCGGCCGCGCCAGACGAACATCCCCAACACTGGACTCGACCCTTGGACGCTGAGGATGGCGGGTCCGAGTCCAGCTGGACGCGAGCCGAGCCGACCTTCTCCATTCTCCTTCTGAAGAGTTTCCTCGCAGGGGATGTCGGCATAGTCAAGTGTGCTACTACGTGTCGATTACCAAACGATGTCGTCATCGGAAGTCGAGATGGCTCTCCGCTCAGCTCGCCACTGCCACCAGAGGTCCATCACCGTACAACAACAATGTCCATCTACGAACGCATATCCAGTGTAAGCGATCGACACAGCCAGATCCTGTCGGAGCTCGGAACTATCGGCAATGCGCCCGACGATCTCAAGTCTCATCGAGCTTTTCTGTCGGATCTGCAGCGGCAGCTGGCAAGGACAAACCGCAGCTTGGAGGAGGTCGGGAAATACACACAGGTCGAGCGCGAGAGGCATGAAAAGTACCGCGACAGTACCATCCGGCGCCTGATGTATAGGGCGACCGGCAAAGGAGCCGTCTTTGAAGAAAAAGCAGATCAAGAAATGAAGGATTACTACAGCGCGCTCGAGAAGGAGAACAAGATGAAAGGAGAGAAGGAGATGCTGGACGCCCAAGTCCGCGAGGCTACAGATGAACAGAAGGATCTCCAGGCCGCTGCCACCCAGTGCGCTCGGCTGCAGGATGAACTGGACACCATGTACAAACGCCTGTTCGAAGGGCCGACCTCCGAGTTCCCCGAAGAGGACGAGCAGGAGAATGCCACCAAAGCCGCCGAGATCCACCATCGCGAGATAAAAAGGCAACTCAATGGTACCGCAAAAGCAGCGCAATGCCTATCCAGAGCCCAGATTCCCATGAAGGAAGCCTTGGCGCATATCTTCCAAGCCCGCCATGCATGCGAGACCGACATGTATGGCTTCGGAGGCGCCCTGGCCGACTATCGCCAACAGAACCATCTATCAAATGCCCAGCAAAAGGTCAGCCAGACGCAACTGCTCGTCTCGCAAGCGATACAGCTCGATTCGGACGTACAGCCTCTCCCGCGGATGGGTATAGTGCAACTCGACATGGTCAGCTCGATCCTCTTCGACAACTTTCTGTTCAACATGGGCTTCCTGACCATGATCCAAAACTCATACAATGAAGTGAAATACGCCGAGGGCTCCCTACTCGGCCAGATAAGGCAGGCAAAGTCCCGCGAGGACGCCCTGAGAACTCAGTTCCAAGATGCTGCGAGACGCCTCGAGAGGGCGCGAAAGGACCTGCGGAAGATCAGAGAGGAGGCCTTCATACGAGCAGCGGATCCGCCACCGCCTTATGTTGAGAATACGCCTCGTACTATGCCTGTGGGCGACTGATATGTGGTCTGTCTGATAAATACTGATCTTTTTCTTTTCGGAATCGTTGCCCGGAGTCCACTTGGACTAGTAGACCCAGCGTTCTACCATCTCCTGTGTTGGATCGTCCTATATGCTGACCATCGACGACGATAAGCCCCAAAATGTCTTGGTCGGCTCCATTTGTATCCAACGAGTAGGAACGGGCTTGGAGAACTCGTAGCTCTCCCATGCTCGGAGCCGCTATTCTGCTTCGTCAAGTTCTGTGCTTTTGTCAGCACCTTCGGCACTATGAGGAAGGTCATCTTATCAATCTTAGGCTATCGGCGCACTGCTTCAGTCGTACTGCTTCAGTCGTACTGCTGTCTTATTCGTCGAGGATCTTCGCATGTAATTGCAAGCGAATTGATCGAACTTGTGACGCTGACTGTTGGCATGAAGCCTCTTGCCGCTGCTGGGACTTCGCAAAGTCGTCAACATCGCATTCGCCGCTGACATTTTTGTTCGGTCATCGGCGGCATACCCCACAGACCCAGCTGCAAAACACGGGTGCTATGCTGTTTCTGGTCAAGCAAAAGCTTGGACTGCGTGGGTGAGATGGCGAACAATCACGCAATCTGCTGGCGACCCACTCGGTCGATTTTTGCGTGTCCGGTCTCGCTCCCCCGTATAAGACTTTCTTCCTCCCAATTTTCAGCGCAACAACCACGTGGGAAAGAGTCTAAGGTTCCTTGGAAGGTTGGGACTGTCACATTCTTATCGCGAGCATGGCTTCTCCCGACGTTCCAGAAGTGATCACCGTGCCGGCCCCGGCCAACCGGTTCCTGAGGCTATTCCGGTCGATTCCGTTCCAGATCGCCATCTGCAGCGGTGTCTCCTTCACTGCCCCTGGCATGTGGGATGCCCTGAACAACCTCGGTGCTGGAGGTGCAGCAGAACCTTACGCCGTCTCCGCGGCCAACGCTCTGTTGTACGGTCTGTTTGCTGTTGTATGTGTGGCGGCCGGTGCGATCAACAACCGCATTGGCCTCCGATACGGTCTGGCTCTCGGAGCCATCGGCTATCCCATCTACGGCGCTGGTCTGTACACCAACAACTACTCGCCCACGACATGGTTCATGCTGTTCGGTAGTGCCCTCTGTGGTATTTCCGCCGGCTTTTTCTGGGCTGCCGAGGCCGCCATCATCATTGGCTATCCTAGCCCGCAGGATCGGGCTTTCTACCTGGGTATGTCACCAATCATCTGGAAAATATCGTCTCTAACCAGTCATAGCTATCTGGCAGACCGCCAAAGCTGCAGGCCCCATCGTGGGTGGCGCTATCAACCTGGGCCTCAACGCCCAGGACTCGGGCCAGGGCTCCGTCAGCGCAAGCACGTACATTGTCTTCATTGTCATCATGTGCTTGGGCCTTCCGATCGCCGTCCTTCTCAGCCCAGCTCACAAGGTCATCCGCAAGGACCGGACTGCCGTTATCGTGCGCAAGCAGGCCTCGTGGGCTGCCGAGTTCAAAGCTGCCTTCTCCCTGATTGCCTCGAAGCGCGTCGTCATGCTCCTACCCGCCTTCTTCATCAGCTACTTCTACAACGGCTTCCAAAGCACCTGGTTAACGACCTACTTCACCGTGCGCTCTCGCGCATTCTCGTCCTTCTTCACCAACTTCGCCGGAATCATCTCGTCCTTCCTGATCGCCGGTCTGCTGGACAGGCAGTCGATCCACATCAAGACCCGCGCCCGCGTCGCCTTCTCCGCCATCGTAATCATCCTCACCGGCACCTGGATCTGGGCTAGTATCCTCCAGTACCAGTTCTACTACGAGTACCCCTCGTCCCCCGTCTTCGACTGGTTCAAAGGCGGCTTCGGCAAGACCTACGCGCTCGTCTTCTTCTGGACCTTCGCCGGCCAAGCCTTCCAACAATTCCTTTATTGGCTCGTCGGCCAGTACGCGACCGATCTATCCTCCCTTTCCTATCACTGCGGTATCCTCCGCGGCTTCGAAGCCCTCGGGCAAACCGTTGCCTGGGCGTGAGTTCCCTTCCCGTTCTTAAATCCCCAAGCTAACACTATTGTCCAGCATGCAATCTGAAGGAAACGCAAACCACTTCGTCAGCATCGGAATCAACTTCGGCATCACGCTGCTGAGCGTGGTCCCGACGTGGATCGTGCTCTCGGGGCTGGAGCACAGCCACGAGGTGCAAGTGGTCGTCGAGGACGCGAAGGCCGACTCGCAGAACGACACGAGTGTCTGAGACGTCGGACATCTCATTCTTATGATCCCTTTCAACAAGGACGCTAGCGGGCCTAGACCTCCTCCAGCTGGCGTTGTCATTTGAGCGAATTTAACTTGAGCGACTGTTGTACAATACCCCTTATAGACTTAGACTATGTTCTTAATGAAGCCGGCGCGAGCTGGGCGGTTTCTGCAGTACATTTTGGCTGCATCTAGCCTCTTGAGTCTTTTGGTAACCGACTTTGTACTCCGGTCGCGGTCACGGGACCCACCTGTCTTTATAGCCTGTTTGTACTGCCATGACTGCCAAGAGTGCTATTCGAACAGAGCCAACTTCGTCAAGAACACGCCCATCGATGGGCACCACCGTACCCTCAGCGACATGCGCCTGATTTGCATATTGTATCGGCTGCATATGAACCCATTGTCTTCGTGTTGTCATCTTCCTGTGTGACTGCATAACTATCTACCAACTCCCAGTATACATAGACGCCGCTGCTGGAGAGATCACGTGGCTGCTGGGGTCCTGCCGCAGTTGGACATCTTCCTGCACTCGCCATTCGCAACCATCGCGATGCCGCCATCCAAGGCCAAAGTCGCCTGCAAGTCTTGCAATCAACGCCGTGTGCGCTGCGATCGTACTGACGAGACACCTTGCTCCCGCTGTCGTGCTACCGGGCAAAAATGCGAGCCCATTGTGTCGAAACGTGGAAAGTACGTCTGCCAGCCCAGGAGGTGTTCGTATGACGTCCGGCCACTGACGCCACAGACACAAGCGAGGGCCCGTCAGGCGCTCGGGATTTCGGCACTCATTTGGCCCAGCACCCAACACGCCGGAGACCAGCACTGAAGTGACTTCGTTACGAACGCCAGCGACTCTCCGAGATGAAGGCAGCGCAGGAGGATCTCCAGCCCCACTTTGCCCATCTTCAGAGCCTCAATCACATACTACTGAGGCCCAGAGGAGTCGGACAACGTATTATGGCGACTACTTCAACCTGGAGTACACGCGCAACCAGCTCGACGACCAGCATGAAGACTACAACCCCCGCATGAGCAGTACTCGCCTTCCGCATGTCGACCGACTCGGATCACCAACCAGGCGGCTTGTCGACAACTATGCCCATAGAGAGCGCGCGCGCCTCGATGAAATTGGTGCTTTTGACGTCCTAGATGGCAAAGCCAGCGATAAGCTGGTCCGCACTTTCTTTGAATTGGTATATCCGGTTGCTCCTATCATTGACCGGATGGACTTCTACGTAAAGTTCCAGAACGGACAAATTTCCCCGCTTCTCCTGCAAGCCATCTACCTGGTGGCGTTCCTCCATTGCGAGCCCTCGGCGATCACGGACGCCGGGTTTGACAATAGATACATGGCGACATTTACCACATACCAACGGGCAAAGGCGATTTACGATGCCGGGTACGAGTCGGACGCCATCGCGGTTATCCAGGCGCTTTACTGTTTGTCGTTTTGGTGGGAAGCCCCCACGCAACAAAAGGACATGTGGTACTGGTCTGGGGTCAGCGTTGATCTTGCGCAGTCCTTGGGAATGCATCAAGAGTATGATAGTCCCACTCCGCTCGAAGTCCTTGCCCGGACTAAAAGAAATCCAGGAAAACCTACTCCTTGCTGGCCGGGCCGAAGAGGAGGCTGTGGAGGCGCTTGTGGTGGACCATATACGTGGGTTGCCCTGCACTGAGTTGATGTAGGCTAAACCTGACTGATGCGAATCTCAGAGCCACGACGTTTCAACCGCAGTACAATTGGAACGCATTCCCCATGTCAACGATGCCTATTGCACAGCAAGACCTATAACTGAACAGGATTTTGAAAACGATGAGCTGCCGGATGGTTTTAGCTCAAGTGAATATGCGGCGAAGGAACACCGATTGCATACAATCTACCTGGCGGATCTATGCATACGGGGTATGTCCTCTTGTGGCGTGTTTCAGGCTGCTAACCCCTCTAGTAAGTCGCTGCCATCGACTATTTCATACCGATCAACCAGATTCATCAGTGGCTTTCACGGACATTGAGACTTTGGTATCATGGAGGGCTTCGTTGCCAGATGAGCTGAAATGCCGAAACTCCGCCTTTACTCTCCAGAATGGCTTCTTGGCCACTGTCCTCAACTTGACATACTGGTACGCGTACATGCCAGGCCTGGATCCGAACGCGGTGCTAACGATTTACAGGTCCTTTGAGATATTACTACGCCGTAACCACTTCCAGAACCCTCGGGTAATGGCAGCGGCGACCCCAGTCTTTGCGGCAGCAGCCGAGATTGTCAGAATTCTGGAGGATATTATGTCGTCGGAGCTGCTGACTGCATGTCCCTTGCGGGTGTAGGCGAGACCCCTCCTCCTGTGGCTGCGGACTGACCGTTCCAGGCTACCTCCAATATTTTGTGCCCTGTCCGTGCTTATTGCGAATATGTGCAGACCCGAGTCCGAAGTATACGAGATCTCGCGGCACAGGGCACGACTGTGCATGCTTGTCCTGAGTAGGCTCGTCGATTACTGGCACCCTGGTCTTTTGTATTATCGGCTATTTGCTCGGATTCTGGCAGCTAGGGGCTGTGAAGTTCCTCCTGACCCTCCCGCTCCGTACAGTGCCCTTGGTCAACATGAGAGAGGGAATGAAGCACCTACGGCGGAGATTGAGTCGAACCACATGCCCGCGTCAAGCGAAATCACCATGGGCGACGTCGTGCCAGGTGAAGCTGAACTCATCGGCATGAATTCACTCTTTCCTTTCTCGGCCTTCTTGAACGATGAGTTTCTGGACACCGATCTATGTCTACCACATTCAGACAATGAGTGTGCCCCTAGTTTATGATACATATTTTGACACGAACAAGTTGCCTCCCTCACTTTCGATACCACATCCTCGTCACCGGCGTCCGTCTAATCTTCCTCTGCAATGTGAAAATTCCCTGCAACAACGCCTCCGGTGTAGGCGGACACCCAGGCACATAGACATCGACCGGGACAATCCGATCCACCCCGCGAACCACACTATAGCTATAGTGATAATACCCTCCGCCATTCGCACAACTCCCCATACTAATCACCCATCGCGGCTCCGGCATCTGGTCGTATACTTGACGCAATGCTGGCGCCATCTTATTCGTCAGTGTTCCTGCCACGATGATAACGTCCGCTTGTCTTGGCGAGGCGCGGAAGATAATACCCAGGCGGTCCTGATCGTACCGCGGCATGGACGTATGCATCATTTCGACGCTGCAACATGCGAGACCGAATGAGAGGGGCCACATGGAGCCGTTGCGAGCCCAGGAGATCAAGGCATCGGTTTTCGTCCTAACGCATGACATCCGTTGGTTTGAATCAACTCCAATATGTGCAATGGTCACGGGAGGGGATAGGTACAGGACATAGTCGAGCTTGTTACTCTTTTTCTCGTGCACTTGAAGCTGGGCACTCGGTAACGTCTTTGCCGTATGTTTCTCCCAGTTCGACAAGCGCCTGGTCTGTCTCGAGCCGGAGGTACAAGGCAGCCTCAGCCTCGTGCATTGGGAAGCTTGGAGATGGCCCCGGCCACTGCCACTGAAAAGCGCCTGCAGGAGGCACGGCGAGCGAGAGGGTCTCATCCTGCGGTATGGTCTTGGATCTCGAGGAATATAGTCAAACAAAGGCAGCGCGTATGCAAAGGATAATTGCTGCAGGGGAGAACAGTGGGCGGGAGACACATTGATTCTACTGTTTAGTCGGCGACATGGGCGCGCGGTGCCAAGAATCCAAGTCGGCGATATACTCTTTCCTAATACGGAGGCCTCCAAGCACGTCCATCAATCTATGCACCGCGGTCTTTCGTCATGTCCATGAACAATTCTCTCCTCTGTCCATCGCGCGCCTTTGTCAATAATATCATTTGGCTTGCTCTTGAACTTGACGCTGCAACCAAACACCTATATCCTGCCAGACGCCAATCATTCCGCGAGTCCTGCAATACTGCATGCAGTCGATAACGCATTCTCCGAAATCCCTTCACCTCCGACTCTGCCTTTTCGTGAAGATTCCGGCTTACAATATGCGGACGGACACGAATAAAGGTTCGGTAGGGAGCTCGGCTCCATGTCCCCGGTCCAACAAAACATGCAAGAAGGGTTACTAAGACACTTATCACAGTATTCTTTGCGTCGAGTCCGGTGATAACAACCCGCCCCAAATATGTAGGTCCGAGAGATGTCAGCCTCCACTAGCAAGTATTGGCCCTGCCGGGCTGACTGGACTCTAACGGCTCCTTCTCCATTTGGAGACCGGACCGCCAGCAACTATAACTGTCCCTGCTGATCGGGGTTTGCTATGCCATGGTCGTGCTGAGTTACTCCGAGTCTTTGGTCGTCCATGGCCAAGATTCGGCCTTCTGGAATCGCCCGTTTTGGCACCGATTGTTTGGTTGCCTCTGCCAGTGCAGCCATTGCTCATGGCAGGGTTACCATCTTGAATGGCACCTCCCACTATGTGGATTACGTTCCCGTCTCCTACCTGTCTGAGGTTACAGTGGCCTTGTTACCTCCGCTACCGGACGTCGATGTTCTGCCGTTAACTCCCATTCCCAGCAATTCCACTTTACTGCCGCTGGGTTAACCGCAATAGTGGCAGACTACCTGGCCCGGGATGATGTGTTCATTCTGCGTTTCTTGGTGGTAGACACGGCCCGCGCCCAGGAGCCGTATACATTGAACTAGCACATACCAGCCGTCTATATTACTTACATCGATTAGGTTCCTCCTGTGGTCGACGCTGGTTTCGAGGGCAAACTGGGCGAGAATTACAACAAGCTGTTCATGGCGTCGCCCGAGTACTCGACCGATGCTTCCCAAGGCGTGCTTGACAGAATCTCTGCCCAATGGACCGTAACTTGTTTCAACAAAGTCGGGAGATGTATTCGAGGCTTATCGACTGTATGAGGATACCCAGTATGCATTTTTGGGGCCTGCCATAGGTGATGAGAATGATAGCTGTCGACCGTTGTCGGTTACATCTGAAGTAAGCCATATCAGAAGGCCTAGCTAGATGAGGACGAGCTCACCTCATTGTTTTATGGGAGTCCTCGGACGACGCATGGCCGTTCCCTCAGGAGTATACGACGAGGTAGCGCTCGATAGGTAAGCCATTGTCGGTTGCACGTTCCTCTTTTTCTCCACCTGCTTAGCAAGGATTCTGACCGAGTGCCCAACAGCTACGCAAGTGAGTCAAATATATCTTCCACGTCAACGGTCTGCGCACGAGCAGCGGCAACCGGGCTTAATACTCCCTCCACTCACCGCGCAATGCACAGGTCCCGCCATCCAGCAGCTAGATGACCTTGGTGCGGCTTTTATAGGGAAGACGGGTACCCAGTTTGCCAGCGGCGACCGACCAACCACCGACTGGGTGGACTTTCACTGCCCGTTTAACCCTCGTGTACGCTGTGTCGACCGGCTATCTATAAAATAGATAACTGATACTGTCAGGCGACGGTACCAATATCCCAGCAGCCTCGTCAGGCCCGGCGCTGGGATCGGTTCATACGACTGGCGTCACATTTCCATTGGTAGTGACAGAGGTAGGTCGATGCGTCGTCCGGCTGGTGCCGCGGTATCTTCGGGAACTGGCCGTCGTTGAGGACTTTGTGCTTGGGGCTTTCTTCGGTCTAAACAAAAATACATGGCCAATGCCACAAAACCGGCCAGAGCGCGGATATGCTGCAGTATGTGGATTTACAACTTTACTCAAGTCCTATTCTAATAAGCCAGACGTACAGAACCCTCGTCTTCATCTACCAATGCTCCATCGGCGCGCTCTTCTTCACCAACTACGCCGCCAGACGCCCGGCGCACCCCATACATCAACCCGAGCCCTTTCTCCGCGGACATGGTCATGAAGGGTGGAACGAAGCCTGAACGAGGACTGATAAAGCAAGACATCGGGGCTCGGCACGCATAGTAACGAGTCCTGTGCGAGGGCCTCTATATCTACAACATCGCCGGGACGCCGAATTACCGGGACGAGTACATTCGGTAGGACGTTGCTTTACCGGGTTCAGACAGAGATGAGGCAGGCTGACATGTCATGGCAATGAACAGACCGCCCCGTCCACCATGCTGGGAAGAAGTGCCTTGTTACGGTGCTCCGTTGGCATTGTCTTTGTTACCTACCGGGACACAACGCCATCTTGTCCCGGGGACGACCACCAGGCGCGGGCACGAGAACAACATGCCTAACACGCAGTGAAGCACGTGGCCATTAGCTCAGATAAAACAAAAGTAGATTCGTAACTCCGTAAGCCAGGTATCATACAACCACCCAATAACTAAGCTAAGCCTCCTCACCAACCGTCACCCCATTCGACAGCCTCAACCCCACCGGCAAGCCGCGGATAAACGTCTGCTCAAACGGCACGCCCCGGCGAGCCGCAAGCACCTCCTCGACATCCTTGTACATGTCATACCCGTTCATCTCCTCGATGGTCAGCTTCTTCTTCTCGTCTTCGACCTTGTACCCGGGGATCTTGGTGTTGGAGCTGAACCCGATGCGCTCGTTGATGTTGTATGCGGCTTTGGCGGACGCGGCCTGGACCTTTGTCGCGCGCGGGAGCCGGACCTCCTGGTAGACTGACAGGGTCTCGGCGACGTCGCCGGAGAAGTACTCCGGGCTGAAGAGGATGCCGAGGGCGGCGGCGTCTTCGAGAGCCATGCAGGCGCCTTGGCTTTGGTGCGGCATCATCTGGGTATGTTAGTTGAGGATCTGAGTGAGCTTGGGACAAGCGTACCGGGTGTCCTGCGTCGCCGAGCAGGCAGACCATGTTCTTGGCGATGTAGGGGTACGGCTGGTGGACCCACAGGCGCCAGGGGCGGACCTCGATGCCGATGGCCAGGTGGTCCTTGACCTGCTTGTCGAGCTCGGGGTAAGGCGCCAGCAGTTCCTCGACGGGGCGGTCCTCGCCGCCCCAGGTGTGCGTCGTGTAGTCGCCGACCTCGCGGGGGAAGAAGCAGTAGTAGGAAAGGAGCTTGCCGCCGTTGCAAGGGGACAGGACGATCTTGTCCCACTTGCCCTCCTGGCCGCCCCAGTACTCGAGCGCGGAGTTCTGCGAGTAGTCGACTAGCCCGAGGCGGACGGCGTCTTCGGTCATGACGTTCGCGTGCAGGCAGCTGGAGGGGGCGGCCTTCTTCTCCGGGTTCAGGCCGATGATGCGGCGGACGACGGAGCCGATGCCGTCGGCGCCGACGACGAGGTCGTGCCGCGCCGTCACGCCGTTCTCAAAGGTGATTACCCCGGACTCGAGGTCGATCTCCTGGCACTATTTGGGTTAGCGTCGCTCTTGCTTCTTGGTGAGGGACGTACAGGGTGGTTGACGAGCAGCTTGACCGGCGTGCCCTTGCCCTCCTCCTGCATGGCGCAGTCCTTGAGCATGGAGTGCATGTACTGGCGGTGGAACATGTTGTAGACGTAGCCCCAGCGCTCCTCGTAGTCGTCGAGGTCATAGACACTCACGGGCTCGCCGGTCTTCCAGTCGCGGTTGATGAGCTTCTTCAGGACAACGGGGTCACCCTTGGGGATGTCGACGCCCCACTCGTGCAGCCAGCGGGTGCCGTTGGCAGCGCAGGAGATGGAGGCGCCGACCTCGCCGGCGAAGTCGTGGCGCTCGTAGATGGTGACCTCGTGGCCGGCGCGGCGGAGGGCGATCGCCGCGGCCAAGCCGCCGATGCCTCCGCCCACGATGGCGACGTTCAAGCGCTTCCAGCCGGAGATCGAGCCCATGGTGACTTTGGTGTGTGAAGACGAGGATGGAGATGAGAGCGAAGAAGCCATCTGGATGGCGAGGACATGTCGTCTATAAGTATTGCATCGAAAGATAAGGCTGTATAGCACGAGTCGGCGGGAGATGGGCACGGAGGCGGGCCGCGCACCACAGTGCACCACCCGCCCATCCGCCTGTCATCCGCTATCTCACTCCGCCGCGAAGCGATACCGAAGGATTTATGGCTGGTATTTGCCAATCGTTTCGCAGGCCACAGCAAGTCATGATAAGGTTGCTGTTGTGCTGTTGGCCGAAATCGTTGGTCTTGGTGGTGATGAAGCTCCGCAAACGCGTGTCAAGGACTGTCCGAGACTCCGAGACCGACCGTGGACTGGCGCCTGAGGCACTCAATACCACATGACCTCTTATCGATAGCTCGCCGCCCACCAATCAGAACACGCGCAGGCTGAGGCCTTGGCGCCTCGGAATCAAGGCTGGCATCGCATCCACGGCAGGAACGATCCATCTGGATTCTGCAGAGAACAGAAGTCGCTTAATACCTAAGATCTGAACTCCAGAGGCCACAGAGACAGCTACAATACTAGAGCGCTATCAACAGCATCTTTGTTCACCTGCAGAAACAAACCGCTGCTTTCCTCCTCAGGTAAAACCTACGTCATCTCGCCCTTGCCGTCAGATATATATATGTCAGTCTGTCCGCAGGAGTGCAGAACTCGAACCCGCACAGCAACAACTCTGCGCTGAAGACTATACGAGAGATAGTAGATGCAGGACTAGACTACCAATGCCCTCGATTTTGCAGCTACTTCGGCATCTAAAGTGGTTTGTTTGCGTGAAACATTGTAGGATCTGATCGGGCGGATATAGCAATTTCGGACATGCCGGTGGGCTTTGCTTCTTACAGCAGGGCCACTTCTTTGCCTCGGTTCGGGAGGTTCGGACAATCATAGAAAGGACATACCTAGACGTCGGGAGAGAGCGACATAGACTTCTCTGGGATATGCACAGTGTTCCCCGATCGGGCTTCTCTACAACCCGCACACTGCACTCAAGCTTCAGAACCAACTTAATCAAGACAATAATAACATAGTCTATGGTCTATGGTTTATGGGTATAGTACAGTCTATCCAATATCTATACATTTTTCTTCCCCTACAGCGCCGGCTTACAAACCGACCGCGTGGTCTTCGCAGCCCTACACATCCTTCCATCCTCACCAACAGACCAAGCATCACTGCCCACCCCCTTGAACGAATAGAAGAAGCCGCTGGGATCCCACTTACTCTTGATAGCCGCGAGCTTTTCGTAGTTCGCGCCAAAGAAGACCTCCTTCCAGTTCGGCTGCAGGAAGTTGCTCTCGTTCTCGTAGGACCCGGACCCAGGGGTCAGGGCCTCGAGTTCAGGGCCGAGCTCGTCCGTAACGGTCTGCTGATCGGCGAGGATCTGGGCCCAGGACTTGGTGTTCGTGAGCGTGATGCCGAACTGCATTGTCACGAGGGCGTTGCGCCAGGGGGCGAAGATGGCGTTGTCGACGTCGTTGGTGGCCGAGACGTTGAGGCCGACGCCGACGGCGACGACGGACTGCGAGGTGAAGTTGTAGAGCACGTTTGAGAGGGCCGCGGCGTCGTCCTCCACGACGCTCCGGGGGAGGAGACGGCCGCCGTAGGTGAAGGTGCCGACTTCGAGGTTGCCGTTGGGCAGGGGGCCCATGTATTCCTCGTAGTGGTCGTAGTAGCTGTCGTGCTCGGAGTAGGTGACGGAGTAGGTGATGGCGAGGGTGTCGAGGGCCGACAGGAAGGGGGCGAGGATGGCCTTGACCTCGGCGGTGGTCTTGCCGTAGGCGGTTAGGGGCTTGATGAGGAAGTAGCCCGGGAGGATCTGGTAGATGACGGTTGTTCCGGCGTCGACCATGGCGGGGAGGAGCTGGTGGAAGTGCGTCAGGGCCTGGGTGTAGACGTCTTCGGCGAGGTTGGAGGTGGTGAAGGCGAGGTAGGCGCCGGCGACGGCCTCGCTCTTGTGCGCCTTGACGGTGACGGAGAGGACAACGCCCCAGTTGCCGGCGCCGCCGCCGCTGAGGGCCCAGTAGAGGTCTGTGTTCTCGGTGCGCGACGCGGTGACGACCTGGCCGTCGGCGGTGACGACCTCAAACGCCAGGGTCTGGTCAGCGCCGAGACCGAAGCTTGTGCTCAGGGCCGAGTGGCCTCCACCCTGGGTGTAGCCTCCCGCCAGACCGACGGTGGGACACTCGCCACCGACCAGCACGTAGCCGGCGGCATGGGTGGCCTCGAGGACCTCGAAGCCCATGACGCCACTGCCCAGTTTGTAGGCGGGGCCTGAGTAGGTGGCGTCGGACCAGTCCTGGTACTCGATGTCGTTGAGGTAATGGGTCCAGACGGAGAGAGCGCCGGCGCCGGTGGAACGGCCGAGGTAGCTGCGTTGTTAGCATGAGCAGACATAAGGGGGGAGGAAACGTACTCATGGCCGGTGTTCTTGATCACGAAGCGGATGTTGTTGTCCTGGGCGAAGTTGACGGCGGCAACGACATCATCGCTTGACGAGACGTTGACGGCATAGCTGACGTAGTTGCCCAGCTCGCAGGCGGACGACTCGGCAGTGAAGGGGTCGCAGCTGCGGTTGGCAAAGAACTGCTGCATGATCGAGGAGGACGAGACATAGCTGAGGCCAAGTCAACAGCGTATACGGAGTACAAGGGAGTTGGGAGATACGTACTGGGTCTGCGGCAGATTCCAGTCCTCCTGCAGCCGGGCACAGGCGGCCTCGTCGTAGGTGGGATCGTGGCAGACAGCGCCGATCGGGGTCGTGGCGATCAGACGGCCACCGACGGTGCTGTTGAGCGACTGCCACTGCGCCGGCGAGGGCCAGCAGGCATCGCCGGGCAGGCAGTGGCAGTCGCTCGAGGCCGAGGCCGCGGTCGCAGAGAGGAGCAGGGCGGCGGTCGCAGCGGCCTTCATGGTGTCGGATGACGGGCTGGATAGTCTGATTCGGACCGGATGAGTGGAAGGAGCAGAGTCTTATATCAGATGCAAGACCGATCCTTGTGCAGCCACGTGTCGGACAAGTTCCCCGAAGCGTGCGAGGCCGACGCTATTGCACGCCGAATCTGCTGCTAAATCAGATCGGGCCTTGCCCCGGCCTGATCTGAATCCGATGCACTGAGACACATCTGCCTGCCGAGGCCCATCGTTCGACATGAACAGCCTGGCTCGTGCTGCTGAATTGGAATTCCAACCTCAAAGCTGCTCCATAGAGTCTGTACGAATGACTCGAGCACAAGACAAGGCAAGCCTTCCGCAGGCCCGGCCTCCAGCCAAACCTTCACGACTCGCCTGCCCCGTTTTATAGTGCCTTAATGTAATCCGAAAGTAATCGCAATCAAAGCAATAATATGGCCGGGTCGGAAGTCCCGGATCGCTGCAGCACTACCCAGACTAGCTAGCCACCGTTGCGCTCTAATTGCGACCGGCTGTGTCAGTCTCAACTTCCAAGCAGAATGCGACGATCCGATCGGCAGCCGAGGTGCTTGAGCCATGAGCCTTGAGCATGAGCCTTGAGCATGAGCCTTGAGCATGAGCCTTGAGCATGAGCCTTGAGCATGAGCCTTGAGCCTTGAGCCCTGCTATCCAATTTTCCAGTCTTCGGAATCACAGTGCAGTCTGGGTGTGCCAGATCCATTGGATCCAGGACTGTGTGCCCTAGGTGGCGTGCAGAGCCATGGGACCAGCCCCCACCGACTAGCAGAAGCGCTCGTCAGAGGTCGAGACTGGCGCATATTTTCGGCAGCTGGGCGCCATCCGCTGCCAGGCTGCCAGTGGTAACTCAGTGGCGGCCTCGAGTCAGCCCAAGGTTCGCTGGCTTCTGCCCTGGAATCCTGCGTCCGCTCAAACTCAATTCTTAGCCTGCAGAGCCAGTGCCAGTGCCATCCTTCACTCCTGCAGGACGAATAAATACAAGGCTAGGCCGTACCTGCAGCGGCTGCAGCATGAACCCCTGTTCGTCTCGGTCACTGCAGAGATAGCCCGGTAGGAGGATGACCTTCGACCACACCAACGACCCAGGCTTCGCCCTGGCGCGAGGCATGTGGGCAGCCAACGCCATCGCCGCCGTGATCCTGATCCTGCGCGTCTTCGCAAAGATCAAGCTGCGCCAGTTCCGCTTTGACGACGTCCTCATGGTCATAGCTTGGGTTCGTCCTCCACCCGCCCGAGTCGCCTCATGCCCTACTGGACGAGGACAATGATGCTAACCGACTCGCGCAACGCAGGCCATGACCCTCGCCGCAACCGTCCTGCTCCAGAAATCCGTCGACCACGGCTTCGGCACGAACCTCCAGCTGCTCTGGGGCACGCCAGACCTGAAGATCGTGCTCAAGGCCATCGCGATTGAAATCCCGCTGGTCACGATCAGCACGGGCTTCGCGCGCTCCGCGTTCGCGCTCTACATCATCGCCATCCTGGGCAGTAAGCGGCAGTACCAGATCCCGCTGTGGACGGTGATGCTGCTGCAGTTGGCGGGCAATATCGTCTCGGGCGTGCTGCCGCTGAGCATCTGCGGGGACGTGCGGATCCTGTGGGATGCCACGGTCAAGACGCACTGCGGCGACAGCGCGGCGGTGATCAAGTTCGCGTACTTCTCATCCGGTACGCCTCCCTTTCCATCTCCATCTCCAAGACAAGGTCCAAATCTAACCCTACGGTGGCCGGCGCAGCCGTCAACACCGCAAGCGACTTCTTCCTCGCCGTCTTCCCCACCGCCATCTTCTGGAACCTGAACCTGCGCCTGCGCATCAAGCTCAGCCTGATCGTGCTCATGTCGCTGGGGATCCTGGCCATGATCGCGTCGATCATCAAGTGCACGAAATACAACGACATCCCGGGGATCACGAACCTGGGGTCGACGGGCGGCATCGAGCTGATCCGGTGGGGGTACGCGGAGAACCTGATCATCATCATCACGTCGAGCGTGCCCTGCATCCGGCCGCTGCTGATCAGCTCGGTGCGCAAGATCTCCAGCGCCGCGAGGTCGCGGTCCTACGAGCTCAGCGGGCCGTTCTCGAGTACGCGTAAGAGCAAGGGGCGGAACTTCACGGGCCCGGGGGGGACGGGCGAGCGGGATGTCGAGCACGATCACGAGCACGATCTCCCGGACGAGACGGATAGCATTGAGCGGATTCTGCGCGATGCGGAGGATCAGGAGCGCAGGAGGGATATGCGGAGGGGCATCACGAAGCAGGTTGAGGTGCGGGTGCTGTCGGCGCATAGTCCCAGTCCGAGTCCCGGGCACTCGGTGCATTCGTCGCAGGGGAGCAGTAGTCGGTATTTTGAGAGGCATGAGTAGTTGGCTGAATGGATTCAAATTGATAGTGAATGAATACATGATGTCGGTGATTGGTGTCTGTTCTGAGGCTTACCTAGAGGGAGTTCTGTAGGCTTGGTTCCTTCACTTTCTGCTTTCTGCTCATTCACTGTCGCATTCACCATCACCCTCTTTAACTCCTGGTCTTCATAACATTGTCTATATAGAGCACCATGTTGCTGCTTAATGCCATCCTCAACATCTCATCTGTCCTCTACTACTGTACAAATCTGCACTCCCACTATCTGGCAAGTCCATCAGCGCAGGACCTACAACTCCACCACAAGGTCCAAGCTAACAGCCCTAGCAAGGCCACAACAGAAAGTTAAGAAACTCCAATAGTTCAAAAACCCTACTTGAATTCCAGAAACCGAAGCCCTCAGCTAGTCAAAATGCAGCCCACCAAACCCCTCTGGCTCAGCCTAATCCGCCAGCTCGCCGACGGACACGACTCCAATCCAGGCGCAGCCCCGGCCGGAGCTCGATCCGAAGCTGGCACCGGCGACAAATGGTCCCTCTTCGTCGCGCCCGAAGGAGAGCCCGGCCTGCTCTACTCACTCAACCCAACTGCAACCGACGTCTACGTCTACGAGGCGCCCCAGCACGCCGTCTCCCTCCCCAACGCCAACTCCACGTGGTCCATGTACACGATGCGAACCGTGAGTGCCGCGGAAGCAAACACCGTGCACGAGGTCGTCAGCCGCCAGAGCATCCCTACCGGGCCCTTGCAGCCGGGTTCCGCGCATGGCGGACGTGCGTTTGGAGCCTTCGTTAGCGCCAGCCAGTTGTGGGTCGAGGGCATCGTGCGTGAACTGGTGGAGGAGCGGGTTCTGGAACACCAGGTGCTTCGGTATGTGCGCTCGATGATGGGGCCCAGCCGGCTTGCGCATTTCAAGCATCAGGACCAAGACCAAGAATAATAGACCCGAGGAGTTTTCATGGTACGCCGCTTAGTGAGCGGGTGTTTGGGCGGCTGAGCGGCTCATGACTCATGCGAAGCGAATGTTCGGCGTAAGGTTTACTGAAGGATCACTGTCTCATCTCGTTTATGATTCATGTCGCTCGTTGTTGTTATTTGTTTGTACCTTGTCCAGTTGGACTCGATCATCTCATCTCAGCCTAATCCCGGCCAAGTATTCTCATAGCCTGTAGCAAAGCCAACGGACCAATTCTCATCGAGGAATGGCCACTGCATCATTTCGGCTTCTAGATCGTAACCCCCCGAGGCTTCCTGGCCATGGTCTAAGATTGAGTTTGTTCTATTCCTGGCCGCGGCCGTAGTGGTAGTGGTAGTCTGCTCTACGGGCGTTGTCCGGCCTTGCGAGGTGGGGGCGGAGTGATCCGGCCGCGAGATACGAATATCGCCGTACTCGTCGAATGTTCCAGCTAGGGTTAGATGGTTTGAAGTATGCGACTCTAGACCATGGCCCTGCTGCGAGCGCGCGCTTTCGTAGAACTTGTTCGCTTCTTGCAATGTCCGCCACTATGATCGTTAGTTCATCACTAGACCAGAATCGAGCAGCATACCCAGCTAGTCCCGACGTCCCAAAATCGACATAGCCGTTCCAGATACTCAAAGTTTGACTTTTTCTCCTGCTCCGCACGCTCCAGGCCGCCGGGATACCGCAGAGGCGAGACCGTGCCGTACATGTTGATGTGCGCCGCGACGAAAACGCTGAACCCGGCATACGGCGTTATTACAGGGGTAGCGCAGCTCTCGAGTGAAGAAAGAATAGCTCCGATATGTTGGGCCGTGGCAAACAGGCACTCAATTGACTCGTCCGTCTCCGGCTGACCATGGTCGAAGCTATCGTGCCTAGGACTGGCGAGGAATCGGTCGCGGTAGAGGAAGAGGATACTCATGAAGTAGACCAGGTTGATGTACGCAAACAACTCGCCATATCCAAGCGCAACATGAGCGGGCGCACTGGTCTCCGGATATCGCACTGTCGTGTCCTGCAGGTTTCTCCACTCATCCAGTTCGTCTTTCAGCGCTGCCCAGGTAGCGGCAGTGCATCGTGCCGCACCACTCGCGCGATCCCGTCGACTCTCATTTGCAAAGCGTAATATCCGCACGAAGATGTCAAACCCTCGAGTAACAATCGTTAAGCCATGTTCAATGCCCAGTCGAACTCCTCCGACCGTGTCCTGGATTTCCGCCGGAGTCAGGCGCCTCGCTGCTCGGCCAAAGTTGAAGTCCGAGTCGCTCATGGGCAGCGGCACCGAGATCTGGCGAAATGATAGGGCGAAATGCTGCCGCGCACCCGAACTCAACTCGCAATCCTGCGTGAAACAACACCAGTATGTCCGGACGAGCTGCTCGTATGCAATCTGCGCGTTGGCGTCGGAGTGGGGTTCGTTCGAGGCATGCTCCATGTGGTCATCGGCACTCTTAAGCAGCGATTGAATCATGTAAGTCGCCATTCCGCTGTACATCCAAGCGCGGTACGGTCGGCCGGATCCCCATTCATATAGTGAAATCATCACGAGCGACTGGGCGAGCGGGAGGGAGGGCGACTCGAAGGATCGGTGGGCGAGTTGAGTGCGAGCATAGTCGGCGTATGTTTCGGAGGGCGCGAGGTTCGAATCGGCCGTGGTTACGGTCATGAATCGCGCGCAGAGCGACAAGAGTGCCGCGAGAAAGACGGGCTCGACAGCGGCGACATCGCGGGCAAGGTCGGCGATCAGGGAGGGGTAATGGAGGAAGTTGACAACGGGGAATCTCTTGCGGTAGAGGTCGCAGGCGGCGATCAGCGTGGACGCGGAGAGGGAGGAGAGCGGTGATTCTGCTTGAGGGGTTCTCGTCGGAGGGGATGGGTTCGATGGAATTGAGGGATCGGGCACTGGCGCTGGTCGAGATCGAATGCGTCGAGGCGACGAGCGCGAGTCTGTCAGGTGACAGCCGGTCTTACTCAGGCGCAGGCAGCGACGGCACGGCGACTCTCCCTCGTGCACACACTTGACCTTGGATTGTCGACACGCGTCGCACGAGATGGAGAGGCGCATTTTACTGAAGCAGAAAGATAGGAGATCGGGAAAGATAGGCATTGATCGATTCATTCATTCCAGATTACTAATCCACTGGCAGAGCTTCTCCACCTCGGTCTCGTCCGTCGCCCACGAAGTCACAATCCGCACGGTCGTCACTCCGGGCCTCTTCTCCCACGCATAGAACCGGATCCGGGCCTCCAACTGACTCAGTCTGCTGTTTGGGACTACTACAAACACCTGGTTGGTTTCTGTCTCTGCTGCCAGCTCCCATCCCTTGCGCACAAACCGGTCTCCGATCTTCCGGGCCATTGCGTTGGCATGTCGGGCCAGCTCGAAAAACAATCCGTCCCGAAATAGCTCGCTGAACTGCACGCCCATGACTCTTGACTTGGCTAGCAAGGCTCCCCTTTGTTTCATGTGGAACTCGAATCCCTCTGCTATGGTCTTCCGCACCACAATTGCATCTCCGAGCAGCGCTCCCATCTTTGTTCCCCCAATCCAGAAGATATCGGTGTAATCGACCAGATCCCGGAGGATGACATCGTTGTGCTCCGCAGTCAATGCCACTCCTAGCCGCGCTCCATCAACAAACAGCAGTAAGTCCCGCCGTCGGCAGGCGTCGGACAGTGCCTTGAGTTCGTCGCTCGAGTATATTGTCCCGATCTCTGTCGCATTGGAGATGTAAACCAGCCTTGGCTTGGCCATGTGCGGGAAGAATGTGTTCCTCTCAAGCACCGCCTCTAGGTTCTCCGGCGTCATCTTTCCTCTTACTCCAGGGACTGAAATGATCTTGTGCCCCGTCGCCTCGATAGCCCCAGCTTCTTTGTCGATGATATGCCCGGTCTGCACTGCAAGGACCGCCTCGTACGGCCGTAGGCAGCTGGCGATTGAGATCAAATTGGCTGCCGTTCCGCTCGGGACAAAGTAAATCGAGACATCATCGTCTGTTGCTTGCAGCTGTGCAAGAAGCAATTGGCGTGCCTCGCGTGTGTACTGGTCGGTGCCGTAGCCAGTCTGTTGGGTGTTGTTGGTGCGGATCAGGGCTTCCAGCAGCCGCGGGTGGGCGCCCTCGCTGTAGTCGTCCAGGAAACTGTACGGTTTGGTGATTTTGGCAATCATTATGATGGTAGGGATTTTGAGAGTGGTAAGAATAAACGTATAATCAAAAGCAACATTCCAGGGACAATGGAGCAGATATAGTCCCGGTCGGGAATGGGAATTGGTGCTCGGGAAAGAGCGCTCGAGTCATCGCGGTCTGGATTCAAATTACGTACCAGATGGAGAAGACGGGATGAAACAAACCCACTGCGTACTCCATCTTTGACAGTGACTCAAGGGGTATATACCTATATCAACATCTCAACCGGTTCTCTTCGTCACGGTCCTTGACCCCATCTACGACCTCTCCATCAGTGGCTCGCTGTCCTTCTTACGCCGCGTCCCCAATGCCCTTCCCGGGTGCAAGACCGTCAAACAGATACACGCAATCGAAACCATCGCGCCCTCGAGGATCATAAAGGTAACCTCGTCATTCGCCAGCTCGCTTGAGTAGCCGCCATTGAGCTCGACCACGCGGAAGATCGATCGGGTATAGATGGTGATTGTTGCGACAACAAGCCCTGCATGTCAGGTCAGCATTCGCCGATAGTCCCAAGCAAGGCAGCATACCGGCCAAAAAGACCTTCCACCATCGGTCTTCGCGGATCTCCGTGTACTCGTCTTTCTCTTCGCTGTCGGCCGCTGTTGGCTGTCCTGAACGACGCCGCAGTCGCCATGCAAACTCAGCCGCAAGGGCGATAAATGCAGTCATGGCGGCCACCTGTGCAGCCAACCCGGCGATCATGATGTTGGTGCCGACTGCCCGGCCATCGGCGTCGTCGGCCGTGGACGTCATGGCGCCACCGACGCTCTGCAGCATGAGAGCAACCACGTCGCAGGACACAAAGACAATGGCGTAGTTGCGAGGTTTCAGGCGGGAGATGGCTTCGCCGCGGTAGATGATCACGATGCGCCCAAGGAGGAAGTACAAGGCGGCGCAAAAGAAGACCGGACCAAGACTTAGGCAGATGAGGTTCCTACGGGATTAGCATGCAGGCTTGAGATCAGCAGGCGACGTACATGAGGAAGTAGTCGAAGCTGAAGGGATCATCGTGGAACAGAATCCGAGCAACATAGCCGAGCACTTCAAGGAGCAGTCCTGCTACCATCGACCCAGAGAACCACCAGGTGCGATAGACCGGGGTCAGAATGGCCTGAGCCACCAGCAGGAGCCCGAAGAGGGCCAGGTAGAGGCTGTTGCCGGCGATGGTGGGCTGGTACTGGATGTAGGCATCCTCGATGGGACAGATGTCGAGCGTACACTCAGCGGGATCCATCTTGGTGTCTGATAAACTCTTCCGTCTGCTGCTTCCTTCACCTCTGTTTGCTGCACCCCTACTCTATATACAGCAGCGCCAAGAGGCCGGTCGCCAGTCCGACCGTGTCCGTGTCCGAGTCCGCGCCATGCCACCACTCTAGGCATCCTTCGTCTGGCCTATATCTATGCCCGTTCGCCCCGTGTCCGTGTCCGATCGATTCCATCACCCTGTCGATAAATAAATTACCCATCATGTCTGCCTGCTCTGGGCGCGTCAAAACGTGCCAGACCTGCGCCACGGCCAAGATCCGCTGCTTACGCTCGCCTGATTCTCCCATCTGCGACCGGTACGACCTTCGTCCGATTATACGGCCAAGAGCGCTAATCTAGTAGATGTTTGAGATTGAACAAGCCATGCTACTTTCGACCGGCGAGGTTGCGACAGAGTTCGTCAAGGAAGGAGACGTACGTTCATCCTTTGCAGGTCTTAGCGCAGGCTGACTGTATTAGGCGCCTGGAAACGCTGGAACGAAGAGTCAACCAGCTCCTAGGACAAGCATCACAAGGCCAGTCCTCGCAGAGCCATAGTCCGTCCGATTTTCCCGAGACGACCGACGATGTCGTCGACAAAGGCATCCTATCGCTGGACGAGGCCACTGCCCTGCTCGACTCATTCCTGCAGTTTATGATGCCGCGCTTTCCGTTTGTGGTGCTGCCCACCACAACGACAGTCGACGAACTTCGCGAACAAACTCCGTTTCTGTTCCTGGCTGTCCTTTCTGTCTCTGTGACTGACAGCCCGGAGTTAAAGAGGACTTTGGATGAGGAAATGAGAACGGCCCTGGCCGAGAGGACAGTTTTATCCACCCAGCCGCCATCGCTGGAAACCCTGCAGGGCCTCTTGGTGGTTCTTGCATGGTAAGGAGACCTCATTTCTATTTGACTATCGCTGACACTCCCAGGTCCCAGCATCAGACTCAACAGCGCTCACCACCGCGGCACTTCTCGACTTACCTCCACATGGCCATCGGCCTGGCGGTCGATCTGCGGCTGGATCGACCTGTCGAGGCGCGGAGAGGATGCCGTCGGATGAACATCGGCGAGTGGGGGACGGAGGCTCGCCCACCGAAGACTCTGCGCGCCGAGCAGAGGGCCGCCATCGGCTGCTCTCTTCTCTCTACATGGTGAGCAACATCCTACAAATGTAGTCCGATGACGGCCATTGACCAAGCCAGCTGTGGTATCATCACGCAGGAAAGGTGCACTTTCCCCTGGGCACCGGAGCTGGAAGCCTTTGCCGTTGCACTGGCGGAAAACCCTGAATACGCCAGTGATCAGACGATCATCCATCTCGTCCGGCTGCAGCACGTTATGGAGGAAATTGATAGGATTTCCGTGGACCAGGATTCGTTACATCCCAGCAAGTCGAATCGAACCTTCCAGCACATCTTCCGGACTTTCCAAGGTCGGATACAGGATTATACGAACCTCCTCCCTCCTGAGCTGACAAACAACTGTGGGTCATATCCCAGCTCACGCCCTTACTCTACTAACCGTGGCAGTCCTACTCGCAACGCAGCTGCACACAGTCAACCTCTACCTTTGCCAGGTTAGCCTCTTTGACCGAAAGTCTACCTTCCAACTTCCCATGGACATCCGCTCCGAGATCCTCTGTCACGGCCTCGCTGCTGCAAAAAGCTTCTATGGGTGTCTTATGTCCATTCCTCGCGGGTCCGAACGCCGCTTCAGCTACTCGCAGTGGCTCCAGTCCGGATTTAACATGATTGTCGCCTGCAAGCTGACATTGATGGCTGTATCGGATGAAGCCTTGTGCCAGGGTTATCCGCAAGTACAGACGTTATGCGATGCTCTCAACATGCCGGGTATATTGCGGACTCGCGTCCTCCATGCACCGCAGCGCAGCACAGGCGTTCAGTCCCAAGCAACGGGCTTTGATTACAGAGGTTGGTTACAGTGGATTGAGGATTGGTTTATGCGGCAGTACAGCATGTATCTCTCACGGCGAGAAACATCAAAAGACCATGCCGCTGTGCCTGTCCCTGTGCCTTCGACGGCGACTGTACCGATCATCTATGCACCGCAGGATACTTTGGGAATGAATGATGTTAGCACTGAAGATTTTTCGCTCCCACCTTCTGCTGACAGTATATCGTGGGCTTCATTTCCCGATATCCCTTATGCGGATAACCCGTTGGCTTGGTGGATGGATCTTGGGCTTCTGCCCATGTAGCATATTATATAATACCCAATTGCTGCCCGTTCACTGGAACGCTCCAGCTTCTTTCCCCTGACAGAGCAACGGATTCCATGTATTTGTTGTCCCGTGACGGCTTGCAGTCTCGGACGTCCATTCCGTCGCAAGCTTACAGCAGCCAGCGAGATTGGTAAGCACGCCTCCAGATGTGCGTAGAACCTCCACTGCAGCCTCACCTCCAGTCCACGCCAAATCCCACACCATCGATCCCACCATTCTAGCCTTATCGACTTTCTTGTAGGCGATATTGTCGTAACGCAAAGATAACCATACGTCGTCGCAATCAAATCCGCTACCACCAGTTTCCCATCAACCGTGAATCTCCGCGACGAGCTCCATCTCCACTCTTCATATGTTGGGGTTTCAACGCCGCTTGTCGCGCGGGATGTGGGGGTTTTACTTACCATTACAGTTATTATGCCAGAGTCGAAAACGGAATGAAATGATTGAAGGCGGACGGTGTGTTTGGTGTTTTTATTGTTAATGGTAGGAGACTGTCTTGCCCTGACTAATGCTGACAAAAGCTGTATGTAGAGAAAGTCTAGGGTTCAGGCCAGGTCGGGCGTTCTTTCCGCAGTGGCAGTCCACAAGCTCAATGCCAGACTTCTTCGTAAGTACATCGTCGCTTCTACACTAACCACTCTACAGCAACAGCAACAAACGATCAGACGTATACACCTCACACAGATCGCACTTTCACCGCAGCATATCCGCCCTTCCACCAGCCAACCCAAACAAGATCCAGCTTGATCGTTTCTCCTCCTTCCTAGATCATTCCCACATTCTCCTTTCTCACGTCGTCCTCTTTCCCGCCTTCATTTCCATCTTCATCTTCATCGTGTAGAATCCGTAATCCAGAATGAGGTACGGGCCTCACTCTAATGTCTATGTCTACGGCTACGTAGTCTAGGATCCCGTGCGTAGTTAGTAGTATCGATCGCGGGTGTCAGCGGATGTGTCTATATGGTGATGGTGTTTTCGGTAGACGCAGTCGGATCCGCCTGTAACGCAGGGCATCTAGTGAGGGTGTGTGATTGGTATCTACATCTACGAGTTCCTGGATGTTAGTAAATGGAAGGGTTGTGACGATGGTGCTGTGCATGTTTGAAGGAATCTTTGGACCTGGCCGTGGCCGGAATATGTTGTCTCGTAGAATCCTCTAGGCTTCTGCACCACAGCATTGGTAAGCGGTATTTCTAAGCAGCGGTGGATGAGATCGATAAGCCGCGGAATCTGGCGGGTTAGGGCTTCGGATGAAATGGCCGGTACCTAGGCATGACAAGCTAGGGTTAGGTTTCTCTCTCCCCGTCGATGTGACGTACGTAGGGTAGACTGGCGCGAGTTTCCAACGACGAGGGATTGGAGACAGCGGTTGATGATGGGAAATAACTACGCCTCCCACTCCCAACTCGTTCTTCAGCTCTATAGCTGTAGCAGAACTTGGACTGTTTGACAGGGTGAACTCTAGGTAGGCACAGGATGTCTCCCGCAAGCTACAAGGAGAACCGCATCGATAGGAGCAACATAGAAGAGGCCAAATTCCAACAGTCAGCATATAGGCGACTGATTTGGGCTGTGTAGACAGACCGGTACTTTATACCCAGGTAATAAAGAATACCAGTATTGGGGTCATTCTGTTCCTAGACCCTTGTCGCTTTTGTGCTCCAACGTTGGAAGGAGACGCAAGGCTGGGCATGGTGAAAGGTAACCCTAGAAGCAGTGGACTCAATTTTATATTCCCCTTCGGTGGTGAGTTGTGGAGCTCGGGATTCATGCACATATACCTCGATCAGGTGTATACGTTTGCACTCTCAGCCTCCAGCTTGTGAGTCTTGTGGACATGCCCGATTCGCCTCTATCGGTGTCTGTGCGTCCGGCTTTCCCAACACATGCAGGTGAACGATTCCAGCCATTTGACTACCCGCCCATCTTGCCTGAGTCTAGAAATCGAGGTTCTCGTGCGATTCCGGGACTGTATAGTTCACCAAGCCCGCTGCATCATCGAGAGCATACCATACCTTCTCAGTACCTAATCTCCAATCTCGCGGCCAAGGTTCTCAACATCTGAGACTCGCGATTGCCTCATCTTACCTGGTGCCGGGGTCTGCACGTCTTGCACGTGAGTATGCCATATGTTGCTCATACAGCAGCCGATGACGAGCTTTCCTCCCCTGGCAAAGATGCACAGCAGAGCAGGAGCAAGAAGGCGATCCTGAACCTCCAGAGCGCAGCCAGTCGAGGACTTTAAAAAAGAGCAAGAAAAGGGTGGTACGCAAAGTGCAGGAAAAGGTCGAGGACAGTGAACTGGGTATCGGAAATGTCGGATGATGTACCGTACATTCAGCCATTACCGCGGCGAGCTGGACAGGAACTCTTCACGCAGAGCAGCGTCGTACCGCTCTTTATCCTTGACTTTTCGTTCAATGAAGTCAAAAGCATCAAATCCCCAGTACGGCATAGTGATCTGCCAGAACTTAGGATCGTCGTGAGTGGTGGAGAACCTTGGTTGAATGAAGTCGTAGAATATCTTGAACAGCGCTGTCGGGCTACTGAGGGCAAGAGAGTACCAGAACGTCCCTCTCCCCCATCCTTGCTGCATGATGGACGAAAGACCGATGGGCGGCTTGCTGTTTCCCTCGTTCTCCTCCTCCTCAGCAAGGGCCTGTACGAATTCACTGTGAAGGGGCTCGTAGTCGTTTATGCTGATCATATCAATGACTTGATTGCTCAGCCAATAGGGAGGGTGGATCATCTCCGCTGGGAGAGAGCAAGCCCACTCGAGGTCGATCAGGTATTTCACATTCCAATCTTTGTCGACGAAAATGTTACTCTGGTTGAGATCGGTGAGATTAAAGAGGAACGGACCTCGGAGAAGGTCGCGGCGGAAAAAGCAAGACCACACACTTCTCATGACCATCAAGGCAGACAACTGGTAGAAGCCGTCTTCAAGATCATGAACTGCATTGGGCTGATTGCGGAGTCGACTTTCATGGAATGCAAGGACATCGGCGGCATAAGAATCCACAGTGGAATGGGTGGTGCTCCGAGAGATGTCGACGGGAATGTCTTCATTTTCCAATTGCTGGATTTCAAGCGTAAGTGGTCGGTTAGTCAAGCTCAAGTACCCCTGGCTGTCCAACGTAAAGGAACCGATCCTCGGTAATGGCACGCGAGCCATAGCCAACATGATGCGGGAGAGTCCGTGGAACAGGTTCGTACGCAGCTTGACATTTTGGCGCCCGTCCGCCCAAGTCTCAGAGAGCATTCGCCCTCTTGACGGATCAATGTACTCTATCAGAAGATAGGGTGTGCCGAGCAACTGAATATTCTTGGTTGGGTGTTGGACGTAAAGTGACGGAGTCTGGTAATTCAACCATTTCAACAGCTGTTGGCGTAGACAATGAATGATGCGAGGAATAAATGGTAAGTTGTCCACGAGGGTGAACTAAGAGTGTCAGTATATCCCCCAACGGAAGGCAGGTAGAGAGGGCGACATACCGTTTGGCCAGTCGACAGCCCAAAGCCGTAGAGCTGTGGAATGGAAACAGTTGGACAGTTCATTTGGAGCCACACATAGGTCGCGGCTTCACAGCGGACCTTTTCATCCGCATTACCTGGACGGCGGTTCTCCCCAATGCGGTACGGGAGGGGCAGTCGCATCATTAGTTGCTTCCCAGGATTCCGTCCGTGGCCATCAACATCAACTCTGATGCAAACATTGAAGCTGCCATGTACCCAGTCCTCCACATCAGCTGCGTGACATGTATCTGCGGAGGCGAGGCCAAGATGGTGAGCCGCAAGTGCCTCGATCTCCTTGCGGTGGCGGTATAGATGGGTGAAGTATTTGAGCTTCTGTTCCCTGTAACCCAGCGCGTGGAGGATGTTAGAGTCACTTTCCTTTGCCTCAGCATAGGTAATCTCTCCGTGGAGCAAGCGACGTGTCTGAGTATCAAGAGGACTGGAAGCCATCCTGGACAACCACGTCTGTGTCAAATGCTCCCGTCTAGGAAGGTTGTTGACACTTCCAATGACCCCGGATCGGAACAAGTTGCCCCGGAATTCCGGGCGCTTACTTACCGTACATTACAGTACCGTACAGTAGCTGGCCAGTCATCACATGACTCTGGTCGTCTGGTCCCCAGGTCGGCCGGGCCTCACTACAAACCTACACTCATCATGGCGGCCTTGATCAAATGGGTCAAAGGCGCGCTTCGGCGACCTCCATCCGCTCCTCTGATCTTTCCCATCCGCGGCTTTGAGACCATCCGCGCGTCGCAAGTGCTCGACGAGGAGCGCTTCGAGCAATTCAAGCAGGGACACTATTACCCCGCAAACATTGGCGACGTACTTCGCTCTAGGTATCAAATCGTCGGTAAACTTGGCTTCGGAGTTACCTCTACAGTATGGCTCGCCCGGGACCTTGAGTAAGTCGACCCTGGTTCCACTTCCAAAGTTGTTCCTAACAGAGTCAGAGACCATCGGTACGTCACGCTAAAGATCTATACTCGAGATGAGGACAACCGTGAGGAATTCCGGGTCTATGAACAACTAAACAAAGGGAGCTCATGGCATCCTGGTTATGCGCATGTCCGGGAGGCGCTAGACCTGTTCACCATCTCCCGCGCAGGCGGCGATCATCCCTGTCTTGTTCAGAAGCCGATGTGGGAGAGCTTTATGGACTTGCTATATCGCAACCCCAGCCATCGATTTACAGAGGGTCTCCTCAAAGCTGGCCTCAAACAAGTTTTTCTTGCCCTTGATTATCTCCACACCGAATGCAAGCTCGTGCACACTGGTACTGTCCTCGCCCCCCCCATTTACCGTGGTAGGCGATCAGACCAAAGTACTGACGTATCCCGCAGATATCAAGGGCGATAACATCCTCCAGGAAATAGAGGACACGTCTATACTTGAACGCTTCACCCAAGCCGAACTAGCAAGTCCCTCGCCCCGAAAGTTCGTCGACGGCATGCCGGTGTATGCTTCTCGACGGTTCGAGTTGCCCCGCTCGTTTGGCCGCGCAGTGCTCAGCGACTTTGGCTCTGCAGTCCGAGGCGATGAAAAGAGAAATCACGATGCACAGCCCAATGTCTACAGATCGCCAGAGGTCATGCTGAAGACTGAATGGAGCTATCCCGTTGATATATGGAATGTAGGCGCAATGGTATGTCTAACCGTTCCACAATCCAACGCGGTCAATTTTGGCTGACTCCTCCCTCTAGATATGGGATCTGTTCGAGTGCAAACATCTCTTCTACGGCAACGATCCTGACGGGAAAGGGTATTCCACTCGTGCCCATCTTGCTGAGGTTATAGCGTTGCTTGGACCGCCTCCGTTGGATATGCTGCAACGTGGGAAAAGAAGTCGTGAGTTCTTTACGGAGGATGGTGAGCATCCCTTTGTCACATGTTCTCAGGTCCACTGCTGCCTGATTCTCACGAATTCCCACACATACAGGAACATGGAAGCAAGATGCAGAGGTACCAATACCAAAGGGTGTAAGCCTAGATACGTCAGAAGAGTATCTGGAGGGAGAGAACAAGGAGCTCTTCCTCCAGTTCATGCGCGGGATGCTCCAGTGGCGGCCGGAGGATCGCAAGACGACGAAGGATTTGCTAAGCGACCCATGGTTAAACAGTTGAATAGGCTGATACTCCACCTTTATAATATGATCTCCATGTGCAACCATCTAAATTGTCAACTCTATCGAAACGCAAACAACTCCCCTGGGCACTCGCATTCCATGCCGATCTGGACGGCGCTTAAGTACGCGGAATACCGTAACAATCCACCCTGCCGCCCTGTCCGCACGAACCCGGTCAATGTTTTCCTCGCACACCCTAGCCGACACTCGACTTCCCGCGAGCCGACTCGGACGGCAGAGCAAAAGATCCCCGCCTTGCCAACGTCACACGGATGTTCGCGGACACGGCCGAGAATAAGACCTTTTCCCATGCCGGCCGGACAATGCCATTCCGTATCTTAAGGATCCAGGCCGGGAGCGCGGGGTGGGTTCAGCGATGAGCAGGTCATGCAGAGGTTCAGGGCGTTCCACTTTGATCTTGCGGCGTGCGTTGTCGTTGAGTGAGGCCGTGCTAGGATGGTGACGCATTCGGTTCTCGTCGAGCAGATCGTTATGGTGCGTATTCCCGGCTTGCAGGACAGCCTATTATACGCGCGGGTCACTGTGCTCGATCTGATTACTATACCTAGGTAGGGTCCGATATATCGTTCGCCGACGCGCTCCGGGCAATGGCACACTATGGCAATTGCGAGGAGGCTTTTTCCTTAGTTGGATTTGCGTGTGTCTGGTCAGCCCGAGATGCCGCTGGGGGATGATTCATTGGATAACGTCAGTTATAAAGATAATCTCAGATGAATCTAGCCCGTGCTGGTGGGGTTAGTCACATAATTCAAGGTGATGACTCTTTGATACCGGCTTCAAATGTATATCCTCCATTAAGATTCTGGGTGACTCGCATATAGCTCCAACAATCGGGCCAGGGTCAGGACGGCAGACGTGTATTAACATCCACGGCTCACCACCAAGGGGGGCCGTGGAGTTGAAATACCCACTACCCCAAGCTGTCTACCTAGTTATCCAATACAACTTATCTATTCCAGCCTTAACAAGCTCAAAGGGGCCGACTCTCACTCCTCAGGCGGATAAACCACAATGCGATCCAGATCCGCGCCCTTATAGTCGAACCCATTGTACAGGCCCCCAACGGTAATGGTATTGCGCTTCCCCTTCTTAAGAGTCAACTGCAACGGCGTCGAGAGAATGATGCCCTTGTGCGTGTCCCGCTGGTACAGGGTCTGCACGTTCTCCGTGTCCCCGTTGACGACGACGGACGAGATACGGCGCAGTTGCCAGCTTCCGCCGATGCGGTCGGGTGTGCCGCCAGCTGGTGGAGTTACTTAGAGCTGATTAAAGTGAGATGTAGGGATGCGGGTACATACGTTGATCGCCGAAGCCCATGTCGTCGGTATCTGTGGGGGTTGGTCAGTTAGGTTGGGGGTTGGGCGATTAGACGGACGTACTCTGGTAGTAGAAGGAAACCCACTGCGGCTTGCCGGTGCCTTCGATATCCTCGAATGTGATTGTACTGTCGTTGCCGTAAATGCCGGTAGCGATGACGCCGTCGGTGCCGAAGTTCTAGTTACGGCGCGTCAGCAATTAATCCCATCAGAGGACAAGCCGACCATGGACGTACTGCTTCCTGAAGATATGCGTCTCCGTTTGTTGTTGCCTTGCTGGCTTTGTATGTTTTCCCCTTGACACCGTGGTATTCTCCGGTTTTTCTAGAACAATCAGCTTATGCTTTTCGAGATTGCATGGGAAAGCCTACACATCGAGATCATAAACATCATGCCACTCTACCTCAAGGGTCTTCTTCTTCTCGTCGATCTGCAGCGGGAGCCAGATATACCGTGACTCCCAAAGAGAGTTGGAGTCCCACTGGTCGCCGAGGTACAGATATGTAGTTTTCTTTGTACCGTCGATTCGGATGGAGAACCCGGATTGTGAGTTGAATGTGCGCGTATTGAGCGGAGAGACGATGAAGGGTTGGGACCACGGCCCGCTCAGCTTATCGGCACGGAATGCAACGACGTCTGCAAACATCAGCTTTTAATTCAAGTGTATAGCAAGCGGGAGCACGCGTACTGTTGGGACGATATCCTGTCTTGTGGCTCATCAATGCCCAGTAGCTCTGGTCGGTCTGGATAATAGTCGGGGCTTCGAGATCGTACTTGGGGAATCGGTAAATAACTTCGTCAAGGGCAGTGATGTTGGTGTTAAACCGGGTCAAATAGACATCTCTGCCTTCCAGTCTATCGCCATTGGAGTAGAGAGCGTACGACCTGCCGTCGGTGCGGTCCGTGAACATGCCAAAGTCTTGACTCCAGTTCCCTAGTGGCGAGGTCGCGGAGACGAATTCGTATGGGCCAGTGACAGTGTCGGATGTTGCTAGGCCTTGGAGGAGCCAGCCGTAGGTCGAGTTATCCGCATGCCACCACATCTATGACGTTCAGCAAATGTACGTCAGCCGTTCCGGATGACCTACATGGTATTGGCCCGCTTCCTCGCTGTACACGACCTTCGGCCGCTGGATGATGTGCTCGGGGGAGATGTACTCGTGGCCTTCGATCGGCTCTAACAGCAAGCGAGGTTAGCAATTATCATTTCCCGCATTTGGCATACACCCACCGAGGGCCAATCCGTGCGATTCCCAAGTCCCCAGGTCGTCGGAGCTGTATACCGAGATTCCGCCACCTTCCTCCTGTCCTTCAATCTTGTACTCGCCAAACAGCCAGAACTTCGAGCTCTCCCTGTCAAAGTACACGCACCCTGCATGAGCATTGACCAGGTTGCCCTCGGTGTCTTGCCAGCGCCCACCAGGTACAATGTATTTCGCCTGGGTCGCGGAAGCCAACAAGGCGGCCGACAGAGTTGCCGTAAACCTCATCTCTGCGTACAATCGAAGCGATAGGGATCCTGGGTTGATTGCCTCCGATGAGGCTTTGACCGGCCATCGTGCCCGCACTTATACTGTGGGGAAGCGGCCAGGGTCCAACATGACATGATCGGAGTGAGCTAGCCCGAGAATGCGGGGGAAAAGGAAGCTCTCCACAATTTGTCCGGACTCGCTCTTGGGTCTTGGGATTCTCCCATGAAGCGCCCTGGTGTTGTCCTGTCATGTCGATCGTTGCCTGATTTCGTGAGCTTTCTATAATTTCTCCGTGCTAAGCCCGGTGGTACCTTGCGTAGGACTCGGGCAATTCGAAGTGGGACAGCAGGTGTGATGCCATATTGCCAGCCACTGACCTCGGAAACGAGTCGGCGAGTATCGCTCGTTGTGCGCGACAACGGTTGAGCAATTAGCAAGATAAACAAACGACATGGTGGGATGCTTATTTCGGCCTCAGGCTGCGTTGGATAGAAACACGTGATCTCGGCCCCCGCACTCGAGCTCCTCCACGCGAATCCCCATTCTTCCCCATCTTCTCTGCACAACTCTCCATTTCCGCAGGTGAATCAATTGCAACCTTCAGCAGGATCAATCTCAAGCAGTTTTACCACCTCAATGGCTCGTATTATTGCGCCGTTGGTCTCCTTCTTGGCCCCGTCGGCATCTCGACTCGTCAAGTACGGTAGGTACGCGAACGCGACCGCCACGCGATAGGTAGACTGCGGAGTAACGGAGTCTAGCTATCGACACTGTCCCCACTTGAACCAGACCGAGCTTCAACCGCGCAGTCTTTGTCTATGATGTACGGCGATCAATGGATTGCTCCCCAGGCCGGTTATGAGAACGGTTTCCTCTCTTTGTTCCCGGTCGTTTTCAGGAAATGGAATCGTTAAATTCCAATCGCCTCGCCAGCGTCGAGCCACAACTGCGGATTCGAACGGACGTATACGGGCACTTGAAGATGAATTGAATACGAGATGAAGGCTGGAATACCTGGCTCTGTGGGATGTCATCGGAACAAGCCAGTAAGTATGTGGCTAGCTGAGTTTCCTGGTCCCTGCTGGCAGCTTCATGTACGACTCTCTACAATGATTTAGGTACATGGAGAGGTGCCAATCCCGGTCTCGTTCGCGTTCATTCCTTCTGTCCGGGAATTGAAACCAGCTAATCGACATCGCTAGGCTTCCGTGACTACCTCCTTCTCCTGCAGATGAAGATCCATCACGCGCACGTCCCGATCAACCTGCTTCTTCTCCTCGCGCACTGACAAGAAGGTGATGCCCGCCGTCACAAACACCAAAGCTATCGACACTCCAACCATCGCCCACATACCCTTCGTGAACTTCGGCGCCATATCTGCCGAGTAGAAGATAATGCTCCACCAAGCGTTCACCGCGTTACTGCCCATATTCATCGAAGCTATAACCACCGACCGCAAACGCTCGTCCTTGTATCGCATCGCGTCGTTGCACCAGGCGAAGAATGTTGCCTGGCACGCGTACACAGCTCCAGCCCAGTAATAGGCGCCCATCACTGTGGCCGTGGAGTCGAAGCAGGCCAGGATCATGGCCGACGTGACAACGCCGGTAATTGCGATGAAGTACCCGACCAGGTACCTTTTCCCTCCCATAAAGTCGGTCAAGGTCGCCCAAAACAAGGTCGATAGAATTCCAACAGCCGGAACACCAGTCGGGTAGTTGTTCAACTGCGAGACTGTGTATGAGTTGGTCGGGTGCGACTGCAGGTATAGGGAGAGGAGAGCATTCGTGGAGAAGGACTCGGTCTCGCCAGCGATGATCCACAGCAGCACAAAGGCCCACCAGTACCACTGGAGGAAAACGCTCTTCAGGAACGCCCAGTTCAGAGGTACCTTGACGGCCCCGGACTCCGGGATCCGCGCTACCGCCAGGGCCTTTTCTTCCGCAGTTAGGTATCTCGCTTTCGTCGTGGTCGGCGTGTCGGGGAAAACGATGAAGCCGTAGATGGCGATTGGTATCGTGATCAAGCCGTCAATCTGCCATGTCAGCGTACCTAGCAAGGTGATACTGGGACGGAGCTTACAATGAACAGCCATCGCCAGCCGGATAAGCCCTGCATCCCGTCCATGGACGAATGGATGCCCGTTTGGATGAACCCGCCGAACATGGTTCCTGCAAGACCCGAAGCAGTGAAGATTCCGCTGCGTTTCCCTAGCTCTTTTTCCGTGTACCAGGATCCCAAGATGTAGTGGGTCCCTACAAAGGTGCTGCTTTCTGCCAGTCCCAGGAAGAACCGAATGGCCATTATACCTTGAGGGTTATGCACTGCAGCGGTGATCATCGTCAGGCCTCCCCAGATGATCATGACCGCGGGAAAAAACAACCGAGGGCTCACGAAGGTGAGTGCAAGATTGCTCGGGACCTGTCCCACGATGTAGCCAACCGTGAAAACGGTATTAATTTGATTCAACTGGTTGCCGTGGAAGTTGAGCTCTTCCCGCATTCCGGAGACGTAGGCATTGTTCAAGTTCGTCCGATCGAGGTAATTGACGAAGTAGCAGAGACAACAGAAACTGAGAATCACTGCATCGAGCTTGCGCAGGAGTTTAGTCTCCCCGGGCACCGTTTCGTGGCCTCTGATGTAGGCAGCGAATTTGGAGAACATATTGGTGTTTCCTCTGACTAACGGAAATCTCCAAGACCTGGGGATCTCTTTATATGAGGACCTACCGTTAACTGTCCCTGTGACTGCTTATCGACGCCACTTTCTTGGCCCTGTGCGACAAACCCCGACTTATCATGGTTCAAGTGAGCTTACTCCAACTCCTTCGATATCGGGCTCCTATCCCGAGGGCAAAGGATCTCAACCAGATAACCTCGGTGATGCCGGCCCATCAGAAGGCATGGAATCACCATTTCCGTCATGGCTGTCCCTCAAGCTTCCTCGAATGGTATCCTACTCCGTACCCATGGCTATCGCGAAAGATACTCCAATTGCCAGTCGGAATACATATTCATATCCCCGGTCGGTCTGAGACAATCAATGTTATAGAAGATCACTCATCTGGTCTTGAGAAACCGACAGTCAACATACTCCGCGTAGTGGGAACACCGTCACCATCCCTGCGTTCATCATTTACTCATGCAACAGAATGATGACAGGCGTACGCCACGCCATGGTCAACCATTTTTTCCAATTTCAATCCCCACCTCACTTATTGCATCGAGGTAGAGGTTCTCTGTCAACGTAGAACTACATCTTCCGCCCGGTTTTTTAAGATAAACTCCCATAGGTACTATTGAGAACACGGCCATGGTTCTGCGTACTGCGCTACCTCCACGTGGAGTCGCAGCTAGCCATAGGGTTTGATGCAGCTTATCTGGCCGCCTGGCCCTACTGAATATACGCAACATCAAATGATATGCATCAAACCCACGCATACAGTCGATACTCCAAACTCGCATTGGTATGCTGATAACCTCGGTGCGATGGGCCAATGATGTCAGTCTCCAACAGATCGACTTATCCGGTTACGAACCCCGCATCTTCTCCAACCACATACAAAAGCCAGGCCAAGGTCCTTATCGGCAACCAAGCACGTCAAACAGAGTCTCTTAGATATCGCCGTAAGGATGTCGTGGGAATCTATTGCCGCCAAAAAGCGCCAGGCTCTCAAGGATGCCATTCCCGCTGAATGGATCATCCCTGCTGAGATCTTTCCTCCCGAGGATCAATTAGACGTTACGGGCTTTCCAAAGGAGTCCGGTTTCTTTACGGATCGCGAATTGGAGATTACGTCGACGCCTGCGCAGGCAATACTCAAGTATCTTTCTTCCGGACAATGGACAGTGGAAGAGGTGACCAGGACTTTCTGCAAGACTGCGGCGGTAGCACAGCAATTGGTGCGGAGTATGGCTGTTCGTTTATTTAGCCATGGACTGATTGCTTCTACAGACGAACTGCCTATCGGAGATCCTGTTCGACAGGGCCATGGCCCAGGCAAAAGAGCTCGATGCTTACTATAAAGAGACCGGCAAAACAAAAGGCCCCTTCCACGGTCTTCCAATCTCGATCAAGGACAACTTCAATCTGATTGGCGTTGATGCGACAGTCGGTTTTGCGTCACTGGTCGATGATCCGGCTATATACAATAGCACGCTCGTCGATCTTCTGCTTGGTGCTGGTGCGGTGCTGTACTGCAAGACCAATGTACCTACCGGTATGCTTGCCAAGGCACCTGAGAGATTGGTGACTGACAAATATCTAGCGATGATGATTGCCGAATCAGTCAACAATGTCTTTGGCCGGACAGTCAATCCTCGCAACCGCAAGCTGACCTCCGGGGGCTCTTCTGGCGGAGAAAGTTCACTGATTGCCTTTGGCGGTAGCAGAATTGGCGTTGGTACCGATATTGGTGAGTAATATCCCATGCGTATTTTGTTCTGCCCCAGGACCTCAATACTGATCAGATTTTCCATATCTAGGCGGCTCGTTGCGCATCCCGGCCGCCTGCACAGGCATCTTCACGATCCGTCCCTCCTTCGGCCGCTTCCCGAACTTCCAAACCCGCTCCGGCCTTGCCGGTCAAGAAGCAGTGCACAGCGTCAATGGACCGATGGCGAAAACACTGGAGGAAATCACCCTATGGGCTAGCACAGTCGTCGGCCAGCAACCATGGCTCATCGATCCCAAGTGCCTACCGATCCCATGGCGCCAAGTCGAAATGAAGAAACCTCTTAAAATAGGTGTCCTTCACCACGATGGACTAGTAACGCCTACTCCCCCTGTTGCCCGTGCACTCAGCGAGACAGTGCAGAAGCTGAAAAACGCCGGTCACGAGGTTGTCACCTGGGCGCCAAGAGAGCACAAGGAGCTCCTGACCTTACTGTCGACATTCTTCGTCGCGGACGGAGGAAAGAGTGTGCGAAAACTGCTCGAGCCAACGGGGGAGCCGTTCCGCCCTGAGATGAAAGCATACGAGGAATCCTCAGAGCTCGGCGTCCATGAGATGTGGCAGCTCCATCTGAAACGGAATGCTCTGTGCAAGTCGTACCTGGATCGGTGGAATGAAACCGGCATTGATGCCGTGCTATGTACGTATCCCGACCCCGGCCGCTTCCGACAGACCCCTCGCTAATCTCTATGCAGGCCCAGCAACACCCTACAGTACCGTCGAGCACGGCAAATTCGCCTACGTCGGATACACCGGTGTCTTCAACGTGCTCGATTACCCCGCCGTCTCGTTCCCGTGTGGCGTCAAGGCGGATAAGGAGCTCGACAAGGCTTACGTGAACCATCAAGCGCTCAGCGATCTCGATGCGCAGATTCAGAATGATTGTGAGTGGTTAGCAAATGAGTATAATAGCTAGGACTAACGGGTTTAGATTCCGCGGAGACCGTCCACGGCATGCCGGTGAATCTGCAGCTTGTTGGACGTAGACTTGAAGATGAGAGTGCGTTGGCCATGACGGATGTTATACTCAAGGCTGTCGCTGCCATGAATGGGACGGTATAGACGGACTGTTTGCATTTAGAGCGCGCTTCGCATATAGAGATTGAATTTAGTGCATTTGGACGAGTCTGGAGTCTCTTGCGGGTGTCGCTTAGAGAGCAGGTGCAACCCGTTGAAGAGCGCAAGACTTCCCCGCATGATCAACCTTGGCCTGACGGTACATATAGTTCTTGCGTAGCAGCTATTCCATTGTCTTCCTAAGAAGAAAAGCCTTAAAGCTGGATAATGTTTTTTTCAGCTTGGTGGTGATCTTGTCACGTGAAGCGGTATGTATTTTCGATTGATAATATCCACGAAGCGCTTAACCTACTGCGACAATCAACATAGCAAACAATCCGGGAGCTGTACTCGCTTTATAGATTCATTTAACACTCCATAAAAAATGCATTGATCAGAGGATCTATCGTCTGCAGTGTCTCACCAAGATGGTAATCGGTAATCGACCGGTGTCGAAAGCAGCACAGCAGAGCGCATGATTACTAGTACATTTATGCAGGGCTCTGCATACCTGCGGTGTTAGCGTCCCGCACTCGAGAGCTTTTTCCCGCTGACAAGCTTGTCGACTCTCGGTCTCAACCGAAGTTCAGCCGAACAAACAAGGCCATTGGTCTGAGCTCGATCGATCCATGGGATCTATCTTTCTGACACGATGGCGCCGTGACGCTGACTGTTGAGCTGCTACCGTGTTGGCACGCGATGGCGGCGAACCGAATGCGATACGGACAACGGGCCGAGTGCCTCGCCCGTTCTGGGGGATCCGTCTATCTACACCCAGTGATCGGACCCTGGCCGGCTAATCAGGCTTTGCGGGAGGTCGTCAACTGACTCGACTCCGAGACATAGCTATGGCTATAACTCGCGTGCGTCCCGAGGCGTTTGCCGTCTGACCGGCACACCTTGCGAGATTCGGGCACCATGGGGTCGCTCGATGCTGGAACTTGCGATTACGCCTGGGCGGAGGTGAGCCCACGTCGTTGGGAGCGCGATATCGACGAGGTGGAGCAGTTTTACGCCTCGCTTGCGAAGACCTATGAAGGGACTGGACGCTGCTGCTTCGCGATAACAGGGTACATCTCGTTTTCGGTACAAGGGACGGACTTGGCGGTTGAGAATGCGCTGCGAAAGGCCTGGGTACGGTTGCGTTTTGAGAATCCTACAATCGCGTCCCGCGTTGAGTACGACGGCCAGCGGCAGAAGTGTAGGAAAGTCTATGAGGCGTTCTCGAGTCCGGAGGCCCAAAATACCTGGTTGCAAGACACGTTTCGCGTCGTTCGCACTAAGACGTCCGGTCTGCAGTGGTGCAACTCCGACCCAGCTGTTCCTGGTCTTCCAACAATCTTCTTGATAAAACGGGCTGCTCGGCAGAGGGGCACGATGAACGCCGACCTCGTTCTTCGCTGTCGGCATGATATCATGGATGGGGTCGGTGCTTTGATGCTCCTCGATAGCCTTTTTGCCCATGCAGCACAAGCGTTCCATCAAGGCGACGCCTACTCTATTCCAGTCTTCGAAGACGAGTGGTCGAGACTGAGCCCACCGTTACGTGTCGCCGCCGGTATTTCACCCATCTTGAGCAAACAACAAGAAGCTCGCCTTGCCAGGACCGTGTCCTGGAATGCCGCACTGAAGAAGGATGTCGAGATTGCGGGATTCCCTCATCGGAAGAATGCGATGAAGCCAGGAAAACACCAACGAGTTGCGATTACGCTGTCTACGGAGTCCACTCATCGAGTCGTAAAGGCCTGCCGAGCCCTTGGCCTGACCCTGAACCATGCTTATCACACTGCCATCGGCATCATCCTTCGTGACCTCCAGAAACGACAGGCGCGATCGAGAACAGTGCGCTATGTCAACTATAATTTTCTCGACGAGCGTCCACAGTGCCAAGAGCCGTACAACACCGCATCGCACGCAGCATCGGTGTACCACTCGGTTTCCGGCGAGTGTCTCGCAGTCGACTTGACTGTTCCAGCGGCCTCGATAGGAGCGCCAGAGCAGCTCCTCGATCACAGCATCCGCCGAAGGCAAGAATTCATGAGAGTCGCCAGCGCAGTCCGTCGCTTCGACCTACAGAACCGGAACGACAAGCAACGGATCCAAATGGTGCCCTCCTACTGGGCGATGATTACCCCTCCGTGGCCAACCGACAACGCGACCCCGGCGATTCCAGTCCCGTACAATAAACCATCGGTATCTCTTTCGGACCTCGGAGAGATCGACAATGTCGTATCATCGACGCACGGCGCTTTCAGCCTCGACAACCCTTGGGTGACCAGGGAGCATCTGGTAACCGGGCTGGCTTTGTTCCTTGGTACGTGGGATGGACAATTGACGTTGAGCGCGACATATAACGATGCATGGCATACTCGGAACGAGGCGTTGGCGTTCCTCGACCGGTGCAACGTCATCACTATACAGGCTCTGGGTGCTTGATTCGTCGAATCTACATGTGGAATTTTGAGGCCGGGGCGGAGGGGGCGATTTCGGATTTGGGATTTGTATAGATTGCTGCTGATAAGCTTCGCATAGCTATAGACTGCTTTGAACGTGATTTGCATATTGCCGGCTATGCTCCGGAAGCAATGATGGCCGGAATACTCTTCCTCTTCATCACGTACGTGCTACGAGTAGATACGGTAGATGGTGATATTCCCACTGAACAGCATCTGCGCGGTCACCGGCAATCGTCCCCCCAGGGTGGAACAGCCGGGAATGATGCAACCCGTCGAGTGCTCTGTGCACGGCTCGTCTGGGTGCTCCTGGTCAAAGGCAAAACAAACCAAGGAATTCCATGGTGGTTAGGTTGCAGCCATGTAGCGGGGCTCGAGGTGTCCAAAATCTTCACGCTACAGTTGATGAACATGCAGATGCCAATATGATGGTCATGTGTCAGTCCAGAGGTTTGTTTACCGCGTGACAGTAACAGGAGCAACAGTAGTACTTCCCCTGGTAAGCGAAGGACTTCTTGGCCGTTTCTAGGACGCAATCGGGACCCGACACGAGGATGGTGCATCCATCACATTCTCAGATCACTCCGTACGTTGACCCCCTTTGTTTGCCGCTGCTTTTCAACAAGAGGGATTGAAATGTTTAGTGGGCTTGGGGCCGGTGAGTTCAAGGATAGTGTTTCTCGAAGCCGCGTGACTTCGCCAGGGAGATGTTTGTGGCTGTTCGATTGACTCGTGAAGCCCTTGAGATGGTTCCTTTGCGATGTTTCTTGTCCTCTTTCCCGGTCATGTCATGTTTCTATTGCACTCCTGGACTGCGAATTCCTGCGGGAAGTCCTCGTATATCCTTTCCATATGCGATTGGCATCGGACCAACTACCTATATAGATTGGACCCCAAGCAGCATTTCCAATTAATTTGATCAAAAAGTTGATACAATACCGTGTCACCCGCGCTGACAACAAGGCACAGCCTCCTACTGCAACCGCACCTCCGCCTTCTCAGCAACCCTCTGCATGTCTTTAATATCCTTAATCCCACCCTGCAGCAACCCAAGCCGCCGCTCATACCGGCAAGCCAACACCGCAAGCGCCGAGGTCTTCCACAGCGGAACGCCCCGGCCCCCGCAATTCCGGATAACCGTCAAAACAGCGAAGAAAAGCGCCATGACCTCAACAGCAACCGGCCCAATAAGATAGGACCACTGGATGCGAACACGCGTCACAAGCTCGATTCTCTGCCCCTGCGCAACCAGCGCATTCGGCCCGTTCCGCACACGGTCCGTCATCAGTCGCGCCATGCGAGTGAACCGCTGCGCGATGTCGACCGTCCCGTCCATGAGCGGGGCGAGCCCGTGACTGCCCGTTGTGTTTTTCACTTGGCCGGATACGATTTCCGCGATGATGGGGTCGGAGGTGAGGAAGATTCGGAGCGCGGCTAGCTCCGCCCGCCCGATCGTAAGGGGCGGCAGATCTATACCGTTGACGGTGGTTTTGTTGGTGGTGAGCGTTGCTGCGGCGATGCCCGCGCCGCCATGACCGGAATTCCACGGGTCTTTCACGCCGAAGTCGACTTCGCTGGTGGTGTTGAAGTCGAAGCCTGTGCTGCCGCTGGCGCTGGCCTGTGTGTATTTGTAGGCCGTGAGAGAGAGCGAACATTCGGTGATGTTGATCAGCGTTGGAGTAAAATTCGAGTCGGGCGTTGACCTGTACACCGCGAACTTGGCGAGTCCAGGAAAGCTCTCTGCCATGGGCTCTAGCCCTGTCGGTAGATCTGAGGTCACATTTATCACATAGCTGGTGCCGTATGAGGTCATTCTGTATCGTGTGGATAGAACGACACCTCCCGGGGTTATGATGCTGCATGTTGCCGGATCGTAAGGGCCTGTTCTGTTGCTGTTGCAGCGTTGGGACTGTAGGCTGGCGTGCGTGACGTTGCTGCAGCTGGTCTTGAACCCGAGGGATATGTAGTCGTCGGTCCACTGGCAGACCCCTGGGCAGGAGAACCTTGCGGCACTGCTGATGCCGTAGAGACCCTGGAGAATGGCCGATTGCATTTCGGAATCCGGTGGGACATTTTCTGCATTGTCACGGACATGTTAGCGGCATGAAGGCGAAGTGACCGTGCGCAGGAGTACTTGCCTGGTACCGTAAATGGTTGTGATCCAAAGTCACGATGGAATGTCTGGGAATACCCAAAGGTGACGCTATGATCATCAATGGCCATTCTCGAGTCATAAAAGTCAATGACTTGCTGGGCCAGCGGCGCAAAGCTAAGCCGGAGGATAGTGATGACTGCTCCAATAGTAGCTAGGTTCCACTTGACCGTAGTGAGCAACAGGATAGACCCCCAAGGGCCGCGACTTGCTTCGTCGAATGTCTCCAGGTGTGAGAGCTTGTGGTATCCGCTCTGGAAATACAGCCACTTAAGCTGGCCAATGCACTGGCTGATACTATGCATGAGAGCTGCAGAGCAGAACGTTGTTAATATTGACACCGTTGCAGTAAGAGATATGGGCGCGGGCCAGTTTTTGAGTGGTTGATCTTCCATCTTATAGAAAATGCAGGAAATGCCAACCAGGAGGGCGACGCTCAGTATCAAGGTGGCGGTTTCATAGAGCCATTCAGAGCGGGAGTAATGCGAGTGTCGCGTGTATTTGGTGGATGCAGAGCCCGGCAGCTCAGAGTCGACATCGTCAACGTGGGCTGGCTCGTATCGGTGGGGATTCAGGGTGCGCTGATCGAGAGACATGATAGAAAGTGCTGTTTGGGAAGCGCTTCGGATGCGTTGGCACTGCGTACCATAAGAGGTGAATCAGGAGGATAAACTAGAAGCAGGTTAGCAAGCAGTTTCCAACAACCGGGAATGGTGGCTTTATGAGCTGATAGCAGGGTGAGAGGCATCTCTTCTCGGAGCCTTGTCGACCATAGCTCATCGGGATAAGTACAGGAGATGATGTAGTACATGTGTAATCTTGCAATCAAATCAGATGCGTCCTCCATATAACTGGAGAGCGGGGTGGATGGCTTGGGTCTGTTCTTAAAAAAGACGAGAGATGAGACGATCAGCCTCCTCTGGTCGATGCGAAGGATGGTAAGGTGAGATTGTCCATCCCAGCACCGCATCTACTGCGCACTTGTATGAACGGTTGTCTTGCCTGTTGTGGCACCTCTTCAGCGAGGCCAGCATCGCACACTAATAATATCCGTGGAGGCTAGAAAAGGCTGCCAGACCAAGATTAGACGCATTCACCTGGCAAGATGACCGGTCGATGATAATACCAACTGTTCTAGAGAAGATATTGCGTAGCTGAGTCTTGGGATGTCAACTGTATACATTACCCCGGAGATAATTGCATCGTGAGGCTGAAACAAAAAAGCGCTGGGCATCTTGTGCATCCAGATGTGGCGCTAGGCATGGTGTAACCTGCGAGGTTGTACAAAGGGTCATATTATTTGCTACGAAAAGAGCCCTTGTGCAGCTGCGCCATCATATCAGGGCGACATAACTAACCGCGAAGAGCTGGAGGCATTCATAGAGTGGAAAGCTCGATAGCTGGGCTCTTACGATGAGGCCTTGAAGCAGGTGAAAAGCCAGAAAGCGCTGGTGGAAGAAGGGACAGTGACAGCTGAAGAGTTCTTTGCCGCTCCCGATGGTCCATCAGCAGCTCATGCGTCCGATATTCGCTGGATCTTGCATGGTCCATTGTCCTTTTCCCTGTTATCCTCTTCCTGGCGTCTTTTCGATTTGGTGCTGGTGATGAGAAGACGGGGCTAGGAACATGGTTTAGCATTGATATCGGGCAGAAGACGAAATGGGGACGCGGAAAACAGACGTATAGTGCGAGTTTGTGGCCTTGATTCAGCAGATTTGCGTTCTGGACGCTGCGCAGGAGCCAGCAGAATAAAAAGGAAGTATCCATGGATCCTTTGTCCACCCTTCTGGGGTTGCGAGAGCAAGGAGCTCGCAATGGTGTCTCCGGCGGGCTCCACGGATACTGGGATAATGTATGTGGCCTACTGTATCAGAATCGGATGGGAGATATCTTTCTCATGACTTTGAACCGCGACAAAGGGGGCGGTGGATTGGCCGGCCTTGGAAATAGAAGTGGGACCCTTGCCTGCTCAGCAAAGAGGTTAGTTAGTCTTCCCATCCACACAGGCTGTAGACTAGCTCTTACCTAGCGCGTACAAGTCTCCGCCCTTCGCGTAACAGAATGTTGCGGAGATAGCGAAGCTTTCCGACAGCAGACAAGCTGTAGGTAAGCTAGCACCTTGGCATCGTCTGTATCCTCGGAATCCTTCGGCGTGGACTCTGAGGAAGCGGACGTCTCGAGATCGTTGAAGTGGCATCCTAGCGACCCAAAATGCCTCAGAGTCCACAGTGAGGATGATCTAGAAGGTCACGCTGGCTGTGAACAAAGTCGAGCAGGGGCTTTGGTGTACAAGCCTAATTCATCATCAGAATAGCAACATCTTCAGGAAGCCAGTGTTTTAGTGGCGAGACGATTGTAGGTAGGCGTCGATTTCTCACCGCCTAGGCCGTAGTATCCCACCGCTAGACAGCCGTGCCTGACCATCGCCCACTGGTCGACGAGGGGCAATGTTTACTCCTACATTCCATCTCCATCTCCATCCTGCACTACGGCTTATCATCCGCATTTCAGCACCGTCATTCCCAAGTCGGCCGTTGACAACCGGCTCATCTCCGAAAGGGGCACACGACTTGCAGGACTCAGCGTTGTGGCCGCCAGTTCCTGGGGTTGGCCTCGCTGTCCAAGCTTATTTCCCCGCGCACGCGAGCAGACGCAGCCACAATGTGGCTTGCGTGTGCTGAGCCACAGCGACCGATTCCCAGTTGTTTTCCTCCCTGCGCCGCCTAGCGCCCTCGTCTGATGGCACCCTCTACGCGCGCCATGTCTGTCGCTCTCCGCGTCTCTTCTTTTTTCTCATCCAGATCACTTCTGGCGTTTATTACTCCTGTCGCCTTTGTCATCAGTGTCCAATGGGCTTCCCACCTTCTCCTCGGCCGGCCGGTGGGTCAGCTAAAGGGAAAGAATTCCGAGCAAGCGACGAACCCCGGACGACAGGTTGGTTGATCCACCTTCAAAAGTGGACCGCAACTAATCCATTGTCCCCCGCTTTATCCAACTACTGACGCGGTCCTTTCTATAGGAAACTCCAGCTAAGAAATATCCGACCGAGCTTCTGTACGTACACATTCCCCCTGACGCCGAAGGCCCCGAGCCGGAGTACGGCACAATCATATACAGGACAAAGGGGAAGTTCATCGACCAAGGGGGCACCGCAATCATCGAACGACTACCCTCCGGGGAAGTAGTGAAAACACCAATACCGAACCCATATGTTCCGTTCGAGGAGGAAGACGCCAGGCGAAACATGCGGTTGGAGGCCGAGATCTACCACAAACTCGGCAGCAACCCTTACATCCCGAAGGTCTTTGCGTGGGATGAGGATTCATGTTGCTTGACGATGGAGTTCATGGAGCACGGCAACCTCCGCGAGTACGTGAGGAGTCACCGAGATGCCATCCCGTCGCATGTCCGATTCAAGTGGTCACGACAAGCTGCGGGGGGTCTGAGACTCTTGCACGAGAACAACGTGATCCACTGCGATGTTTCCCCAAGGAATTTCCTGCTCGACCATGAGCTGGACCTGAAGATATGCGATTTCGGTGGCTCTTCGTTGAACGGCTCCCGCCCGAGTGCTTTTGTGTCTACACGCTACTGCCCGCCCAACTACAGCTGGGACGACTCCCCGCGATGGAGCGATGATGTCTTCTCCTTGGGGTCACTTATCTACTTTATTATGACGGACGAATATCCCTATGAAGAGGTGCAGAGCGACGAGGTTCAAGCGCGGTACAATTCTCTACAGTTTCCCGATGTTTCCGGCACCGCATGTGGATCGATTATCCAGGACTGTTGGCACCAACGGATCGATGCAGCTCAAGTCTGTGAAGCTCTCAAACGCCAATTTCCCTAATTCACTACATAAATGCAGACCTATCACTACTGTCAATCTAGCAGTGGATGTCTCAGCAAACAATCTGTCTTCCTGCCATGGTATTTATCTTTGAATGCCACTTTTGGAGTATCCTTCATCACGGTGTCTGTGGCATTGGCTGCGGCTGACAGTCTGGCCTAAATGGACTTTCTTGGGGTTGCCGCATCTTCCTCCTGTAGCTATGAAGTGTTTGCGACTGTCTGTAACTAGCGCGCAATCAGTTATCACCATGTTAGATAGTCTAATCATGACAGTATAGGACCCTCCCTTTAGTATAGCCCAGCATGAGTGCAGTGGGTGAATGCTTAAGCAGAGTATATGGGTTTCTTAGTCCCCAATAATGTCAAGTGCTTTAATAATTATGAATGCTGGGGCCTTTTCTGGATCCTAGTTAGAATAGGCAGTTTCTCTCCGGCCTCCATTCAATTTTGAAGAGCCTCCAGTGCCAAATCTGCGCCTGAAATAGGGCATCTCGCACTGCTTTTGTTTATGGCAATGGTCTTGGATGTTTTGCTTGAGTGGGTCAATGGTTGATTATAATATTAATTGCTCCTAATATACTGTGAATGTATCTGTGTTCTTTCCAAGCCTACCATACCCTAATACAAGGAAAATCTACAGATTACTCCAGACTTGCCGGCGCGGTTAAGTATAAATAGGGTCTCTACGGGGTTGCACATTAATGCATTTATTGATATCCAATCTGGTACACTCCTATGGGACGAAACTACAGAGACGCAATTGAACAGGTCCAAACAAGACACGCAGCATCAGGAAAGATCACACCAGAACAAACAGCACACCAAAGCAAAGTAAAGCAAACCAAAGCATACAAAGTATACCAAAGCAAAGCCACTCAGCAACGCTTAGCATTGAAGTTCTTCCTCGGGACAGGCACAACGTCGTAGCCAAGGTTGGCAGGAAGGACCTCCCCGGTGGCGCTGGGTTCCGTCCAGATGTCTTTCAAGTCAGCCTTGTCCTCTTTCTGGCTCCTGGTGGGCCTGTCGATGAACTTGCCCCGGTCGTCGATGTACAGAGGCGCACCATGCTTGTACGCAATCAAGATGAAGGCCCAGTCGAATGCCACGAGATGTCTGGCAAACCACTCCAGACGGAAGAGCTCGGCGGTCTCGGGGGATGCAGGGAGGTCGAAGGTCCACCTGGGACATTCCTTCTTGGCCGATCCAGGGATTGAGATGTCGGGCAACTCGTTGGTAAGGCCGCGGAGCATGGCGGCGTCCACGGTGAGGGTATCTGGGAAGTCGACGAGGACGGTGATCAAACGGGCTGGCTCATCGTCATCATCCGATTCCAGGTCGCAGTACGGGTCGGCTGGAGGTGGCGCGGCGGATTTGTAGAAGTATCGGATCTCGCCGTAGCTGCGGAGGAGCTTGTGGATCTCGTTGTCCTCGATCGTGACCTTGCCCTCGACGGATTTCGGCTCCAGAAAGCTCTCGTAGGATATCACTGCGGGTGTGGTGTCCTTTGGTCGGGCGACAAGCTTGTTGGGCAGTTTCTTGATGTCCTCCTGCAGCTCTTGCGCCCTGACGGCTGCGTATTTCTCCCAGAACTGGGGGCAGCAGGGGTCGGTGCTTGTCGACATTTTGAGCAAGTGATGGAGCGGTCTGATACGGTGCAATTTTGTACGAGGCAGGTAGAAAGGATGAGTCTAATTGACGAGGATCCGAAGATGCAACTGTGGTATATATAGACAAACTGTGGGATGGAGAAGTGATTGGAATCCGATGAATGAGGCTGCCTTGCTGCTGTGGGCGTTTTGGTCACCAAGTCATGAGGGGAGGTTTCCGTTATCACGGTCACTGTCCAAGGACGATGTCCATGGATCACCTTCTTGGTATCCATATTGACATTGGAAAAGCCTTTCAAGTGAGTCCATCACCTGCAGTTGAAGCGTCCTACTGGTTGAGTGGAGATGGGCCCATTCGTACTCCGAAACAAAGAAAATGGGCTGGAGAAGGGCAAGCTAGAACCCAGATGGCTTGTTATTCACTAAACATCAGACTCAAGAACAAAGAATGCGCCACAGAGATGAGGAACCTTGGTGCATGTGTCCTGGGCCTAGGCCTTGCCCGCTGAGTCCGCATTGCGTCCATTCGACGCCGTGCGATCAAGTTCTTCCTGGGATCGAGGCCTGCTGGTGGATGGACTCGAGGTCGGCACGGTTTCTTGTTTCGTCCTGCAGTATCGTTTAGCACACGCCATGGTCGAATGAGCGACCTTTGTCAGGTTGTCGACCTTGGCCTCGGTCCTCGCCGTAGCGAGAGCGCTGTGCAGTGAAAGAGCCCTGGTACAGTGAGTAACGATGTTATGACAGGCAGAGTGGGCAAGGGCGCTGCCAACTCACATGTGCATCAACCTCACGGCCGACTCAATGTTCGGACAGAGGTCTTTCAGAATGCCGACTGCAGTGCGCAGGCTGTGCTTCATCTCCGAGAAGGAGCAAACCTTCGAGATGCTTGACATCGACTCCCACTCATGAGGGTCCGCGTTTAGCTGGTCCAAATGGCCTTTCACGCGTTGCGCGTCTTGCTGGCAGCCCTCCAGCTCGTGGACAACGTGCTTCTCCGACCCCCCCAAGCATACATTGCCTCGCTCTGCCTCCTTCTTTATCTGTACTAGTAGATCCACCCGCCCGCCCAGCTGCTGCAGTTGGCATTCAAGCCTTCTGATGTTTGTGGCCATGTTCTTCGTTTCTTTGCAATTGCGGACCACGGACCGGCCTACTTTTACCACCACCTCCACGATTGCTATCACACCCGCAACCGCGCCTATGACCTCGGCCATGACGAGGTAATGTCCGCTCTAGGAGGGGATGGGATCACGGGAGAGGTGATAGAGGCCAGCCAGATTGTCTCGCGGGCGTTCGATCGTCGGTAGGGGATGAAGCGAGAGGTGGTGAAGAGCCGACAAACAGTCCTTTCCCCCGGGTCTTCGATCGTATGTCGGAACGCGCACGGAGGGACTTTCGGGAGCTGATGCGATGACCCGAACAGGCTTTCTACCGTGGCCGTTGATCGTTGGGAGGGAGGACGACGAGGACAACGCTTTGGACCGTGTGGGAGGAGATAAAGAACGTTTTCGGGCTATCGATCAGCTGTGAGGTTCGGTCGGTAATGCGAAATGCTATATGATGCTGCTCTGAATATCTGTTGAGCTGAAATCAGGAAGATGGGGAGGAAAGAAAGACAACAAGGAGGAATAGAGGCTTGAGTTCCTGGGAGCACCTGTGCCTTTCGCGCCAGCAGGGCGATGAGAGACACTAGGTGCTCCTGGACAAAGGACTTCAGAAAGTCTTGAATCCTGTGCTAAAATGGGCCTGCAAATGTTGCAGTATGAGACAGCGGTTTCTGATTGGGTATGACGCCGATGCCTGCCAAAGTAGGGTCTCCATGGAAGAAAGTCTGAGAGGGCCATGGGCTCATCGGAAAGCAGGGCTGCCATGGTGTTCCATTTGCGAGATGCAGATATCTTTGGAGCCTCAGGGGGTCTGTCTGGGAGGCGCTGGTTCTTCAATCAGCAAAAGCCTCTCGGGCAAGAAGAAGGTGGTCTCTCCGGCTCCGAAACATGTTGCACAGCTGGCCCCTGGAGGATGTGATGGCCATCGTTCAATCCTTAGTGACAGAAAGTCATTGATGGAGTGCTGCAGGGTACGACGTGTCCGGTCCACGGGTTGAGTATCCCCCATGCCGCGCCCATGCCCTACCTGGCCAACATTTCGAAGACCCCATCATGCTGATCCTGCGCAGCGCTCTAGCACCGCCAAACGCATCGAATAAGCCATTTCGGGCACTCCCCTTCCTACCGCGAGTACCTCCAGCCGATCCCAAAGCGGTACCACGAACGAAGCCCCGTCGGCGCGTCCCGTCCTCATCGGGCGACGCAGCATCGAATTGCCGATTCGCGACGCCTCCACTACGCTTCCTACCCACCATGACCATACCCATCATTGCTCTACCGTCGAGACCCATCTTCCGTTCCCACGTTTGCCTCCGTCGTTGATGCGAACCCCTGTCCTTGTCCCTGCCCAGGGTGGCTACAACACCGAACGTGGGCTACGTCCACGCCCTGAAGAACAAATGAGAGGCGACGATCATGGAAAGCGATTCGAGCGGTCAAGACAATACTACCTTCAGACGATAAGGATCAGTCATTCACCAGTCGGCCGCCGGCTATGGTATATCAGGCAGATTTGTCCGGCAAGCCCTTCATCGCCTACGGTCGCCCTGGTATCTGGGAACCACAACGGGACTAGAATTCCTTTAAATGAGACCCTGCCGCGGAGAGAAAGTCTCTGAAAGAGTACCAATGAAGATGGGTGTACAACTGTGGTCTGGATGCTGCGATGCGCATCATGGGGTCAACAGGATGGATGGGAGAAGTCATCAGGCTTCGCTTCGTAAGCGTGGAATTTTACAAGTCTATCTCAGCAAACACTGCAGGGGAAGGGAAAATGCAGGCAAAGAGTCCAGCAACATGGCCATCCTGCGCGCAGAGCGCCCTGCACTGTTCGTGCTTCCAACACCTTTCCTGGAGTCCAAGCAGGGTTCAAAGTCCGTGTAGGCCCATCTCCGCCTTCCCACACCGTACGCGGACTCTCTGAGTTTGTTATTGCCAGTTCCAGTACCCCTCACACAGAGCTGGTCCAGGTGTAGCTGTGCTGTCGCGGAGCGCCGGAAGGGAGTGGGAGATCTCCTCGCGCAAATGGAACCGAACAAATGCAACGACGCTGCACCGGCCGGGGGTCAAATGGATTGGCAGGTATACAGAGGTTGAGGCACCATCGCTCGGGAATTCGCGTCCATGTTTTCGGATCGATCGACCTAGGCAGGGGACCAAGGCAAGGTCAGCTTCTGGATCTCCCGGCGACGGAGTACTCAGGCTTTCTGATATCCACCCCTTCGATGGCCATTGTCGACGTGTCCACTGTCTGCATTCGGGAGAGGATCCTGGGTCGGATCTCAGACAGCTGGCCTTGCTCATGGGATCAAGGTGCCAAGTTGGACAGTGCCATTTGCGGACGAACCCCTGATCCAGAACGCGTTAATTCCCCTTCTGCTGCCATGTTGCCATACCCTACTCACACCTGCACCGTTGGCATTGTGCAAGGCACGCGAGGGCATGGAAAGAGCCTGGGTGGACCTCACCGGGTGCTGCTCAAGTCTGAGTATCGCCATCCAGCGACTGTTAGGGTAGGGGCTCTTACCCTGACGCACACGGTTCGTTGCCAACTGATCTCGTTATAGCGCGGTACTTCGACACTCCTCGAGGGCACTGCCCAAGCCAAACAATCCATTCGTGCGCCGGGGGCTGTATCGGATTCTCGACAAGGCCATTACCTCGCTGCCAGTATTGGCCGGCGCCTCGCCATCTGCAGGTGGCTGCGGTCCCATCCTGCCCCCAGCCGAAGTGCCCTGCGGTCAAGCGCTGCCTTGGTTACCCCAGACGGCGCTCAGCTGCTTGCCCGACTCGTGACGGCCGACTCGCGCGACGGATGCCGCTGCCCGTGCTCACGCAACGGCTGTACGCCGCTTAGCATCCTGCTCCAGGCATTCCCACCTGTCCGAGTACCGCCCAGAGGAGAGAGGCGAGGCAACCACATGGATCAGAAGCTTTGTCAAGCGGTATGTCCCTGACATTGCGTCCAACGAGCTCGTGGTGTGGGACACCCTGCGATCCGTCACCTTCGACACCATGGGCCTGGTGCATGTCTGCCGATTCTGCTCCACGGCGGGAAAACGCCCGCAGTCGGAGCAGTCTACCGTCACCGTTCTGGAGAGACGATCCTTCTGAGTTCGCGAGCTGAAGGGCGTCGACGTCTACGGGAGACCGCCTTGTGGTTGGATCTTAAAAACCCCTATTGCCTGGACGCCGAGATGGCCAGGCTTAAGGCCGAGCCACCGCATGGAGCTGAGAATGCCATCATCAAGCTTAGTGCTGATGCCCGGATCTCTTGGATTGAGAGATACAATCAGACTTTGTCATCCAAGTGTCGCAGCCTGACTCGTGGTGCCCCGTGTCAAGTCCATTGCACGTCGTACCGTTGGACTCTCATCCGCCAGGGGCAAATATGTATTTTACCACGGTCGCTTAGTCTAGGTACGGTACGCTCTCTAAGATTTTGTCTAGGGGCTTGCACTAACTATTCCAGTCACCCTATGTTACCTATTCTCTCTTCCTAAATACAGTCCGCCACTACCTGCATCCCAAGTGGAACAGACCGTGGACAACCGCGGTATATCCAGCCCTAACCCCTGCTTACTCCCAGTCCCATATCCAACTGACCTGCACCTTGTTAGTTGAAAGCACAATCCTAATCTGCTGCATTATCCCAATAGTTATCTTAAACCCAAGCTAGATAGGCCTCATCAAATTCAACGCAGTACGCCGACCGTCGCTCTTTCATGATCAGGCTTTCAACCTCCTTGATTTGGCCTCATGATGTGGAGATGGAGAGTGGACTCGTTTGTTCCTTGTTCTGCTGGAGAATGCCGTTCTATGTATGGTTATAACGACGCAGTCGAAAGGCCGAAGGTAATACCACTAACCCCTACCCATGGTATTGACTTAGTATTATGCGGCTCTATAACCGGCTGTCCCTCTCTCTACATGTCCCATGGCCGTAGCCATCCGCGCTCGCTTGCACCTTCGCACCCCCGTTCCCACTGCCACTGCCGTTGTCATCCCCCTTACCCTTCCCACCGCACCCCAAGCTCTCATTTCTATCCGCATCCAACGCACAGAAACAACTCGCGCGGATCCTGATATCCGCCCTCCCCAACGCCTCACTAAGCTCCCTCTGAACCCGCACGCCCTCCTCACCCCCCGCCCTCCCAAGTCTCCGCAGACACTCGTGGTACCCACTGAGCGCCCATACATTCCGCGGGTGCCGCCGCGGCCGGATCAATCTCTCATCTACTCCCAGGTCAGCGCGGTACTCTGCCGCTGCTTCCTGGATATAGCCTTGCTCTAGTAAAAGCGCCGCGTATGCATGGCGAGCAGGCTGCATCCAGGCCCAGGGCTCGCTGTAGGGGAGGTTATCGTCGAGCTGCACTGAGCGCCGGAGGCGGTGCCAGGCGCAGTCGTATTCTGTCTGCCGGTAGGCGATTTCGCCGGATAGCATGGCCGAGGCGACGGCTAGGGTGTCGAGGGCTTTGCAGTTGTAAGCGCGGCGGGATGGCGGGACGCGGGATTTGCGTTCCTCGAAGAGCGCCTGTTCTGCATTTGCGGCTGGGATGTCACCCCTTGCGGCGTGGGCTAGAGCACGCCCGTACGCCGTTGTTGCGGTCGTTACGCAGAGCAGATCCTGGTCTTTTGCCGGCGGCAAGGGCAGCGCAAGGAGCTCGTTCCACATTCCAAACCGGATCAACACGTGCACGCGCGTGCCCAGGAAGTTCTCGAGCCAGTCTGCCATCGGTGGCGACGTCATGCTTAGTAGACGACTCCAATCGGGCACGCTCTTCTCCATCCGGGCCACGGCATCAAGCGCCGTCTTCTTCTGGCCTGCGAACATCGCCGCGTAGATCAGGCTGTGGTAGTTATGCAATCTGTAAAACGTATACAGGTTATACGCACCGCTCTCGCACCCCGCCAGGTACCGCTCGTCCGCGATCGTCGCGTTGTAGTTCCCCTCGATGCTGCGCTGCCAGTCGCCGACAAGAATGTCCAGGTGCGTCGGCATGTGGTGGATGTGTCCGGCGTCCGGCACAAGGCCGCGCAGTTGATTCGCGACGTCCAGGGCGCGTTTCGAATCAGGCGTCGGACTCATCTCGACGTAGTGGATGTATAGATGCAATAACCCCGGGTGTTTATCGGCGCCGGGCATACCCAGCGCGTCGTCGAGGACACTCCCCACAAGCGCAGTTGGTGCATTCTTCGCTGCGGCGCCTGTCTCCAGGTCCCAGAGTGCCCAGGGCGTGATGTTCATGAGCGCGTCGGCGTACAGCACCGCGATCTCGAGCGCGACGGCCTCATCTCCCCCGTGTCCAAACACCTCATACACCCTCCCCATAGCCCGCGCATACCGCGCATTCACCACCCCCGGGTCCTTCGGCGGCCGCCCACCCTCAAACCGCCTCTGCATGGCCCCGATGACAGCCCTCTCCCACGGCTTAACCTTGACCGTTACGGTTACACCACCCTCGTGGTCGTACGAAGTCTCAGCCGCAGCTCCAGCCGCAGCCTTCGCCCGTCGCGCGGCCTCGTATCCAATTTTAGCTGACGCCGCCCGGTCGCGCGCGTCGAATCGCTCCCAGGGCTTGTTGTAGTTTGGGCCGACGGCGTACGCGAGGCCCCAGTGCGCCATTGCGCAGGTGGGATCGTGGAGGATCGCTTGGGTGAAGCATGAGGCTGCTTCCGCGTGATTGAAGGCGTAGAGCCAGGTTAGGCCGCGCGTGAACCAGGTTTGGGTTGAGGGGTTGGATGTGCTTATGGCGAGGGTGAAGGGGCCGAGGTTGTAGTAGGGGTGTGAGGCTGCGACTTTTGTTGGCATTTTGGGATTGATTGTCTGTTTGGGTGATGTAGACAGTAGGAGGGGAGATCGAGGGGCGGGGAATCGGGATTGCCAGGCACATGGATCCGGATCGATCGATCGGTGGATGTCATCGTGATGCGGTGGCGAATCCGAGGGATGCCCTTAGTCATAGCCATCTTCATTACTAACTACCTAACCCTGCATTAAACACTATACTACTCCTATTGCTGTAATCATGAGTTATTATTCGAAGTCAACGTAGCCGTCGGATCCAGAGTGCCACTCGGGCTCTCCCCCTCCAGCTCCGTCACCGTGTGTCCCTCCAGCTCCGCGTGCCCCTCCGTGTGCCCCTCCGTATCGGGAATATCCTCGAGCCCCAACCCCCTGTACCCCAGTGCACTGTCCAGTCTCGTCCCCGCCGAGCTAATGCTCGCCTCCGACACCCCAGACACATACTGCGGTCGCACCGCCCGGCCCTCCTCAATAACCGGGCTGTACGACTGCACGCTCGACAGGCTCGAGACATTGCGCGTATGCGTCGGCCGCACCGGCGTGTCGCCTTCCTTCTCCTGCGGACCCTGGCCCGGGACTTCAGGCGAGACCGGCGAGTTGTAGCCTAGTGGTGTGCTCATTGCCGGCGAGCTCATTGCCGGCGACGACGCAGAGATACTGCCAGTGGCCTCGTTGAACGACGTCGGCAGCTCAACGGCGTGCGCTGCGCTGTGGCCTGTTTCCATTAGCCCCCATTCAGTAAGACACTCTAAGCAGCATACCATGCATCTCGTAGACCTGATCCCCGCCCGCCTCGGCCGTCGTCCGGCTCACCGCCGCAGTCCCCTCGCTCCCCGCAACCGTACTCTCATTCGCAGTCGTCAGCCCGCCCGAGACCGTGCTCATGTCGGGATCCTTTGGTCCCGGCGGCGCAAACGCCCCACCGGCATTCACCCAGTTCATGACGCGCGAGCCGCGGCTTGTTTCGCTCGCGCGTCGCGACCCCTTGCGCTTGCGGCGGCGCAGGAACCAGAATGCGAAGAGGGCCGCGAGCAGGGCGAGGCCGAGCACGACGCCGATGATGGCGCCCGCCCAGCCCGGGAAGTCGGAGCCGCCGCCGGACGGGACGGTGGTTGTGCTGGTGTTGCCGGTCTTTTCGTACGGGTAGTATGTTGCGATTGGTTTGGTGTACCGGGCTTTGAAGACGTCTGCTAGGGAGGTTGTTGTCCAGGCGTCGGGCGATGTTTTTGTTGCACTCCCGCTTGCGCTGGGATTGTTAGTCTTGCTTGTTTAATGCAGTTCCAGGACTTACTCTCCGCCAATTCTCCCAATAACCAGTTCGGGCACTGCGTACTGGTCCCAGTCTTCTGGGTCGTATTTATCCTGGAAGCGGCCGGTGTTGAGGTTGAAGACGCGGATCATGTCGATGCACGGGCTCGAGCCTCCGACTTGGACGCCACCGAGAACCAGCATCTTGTCCGGGTACGGCCTGACGCATTTGTGCTCTTTGCGCCCGTTGGCGGTGCCGTTTCCGCTGTAGAGCTTGACCCATTCAAAGGCGGGCACCGAGAGGACAAAGACGTCGTCGGACGACTGGTTCAGCGGACTGAGCCCGTCGTACCCGCCGTAGATGTAGATGTTGTGGGAGGAGCCATCGTTGGCGCTCGCATAGACGGAGCAGAAGGCCGTCAGTTGCGGGGGAATGTCGCCGGTTGTGTTCTGGTGGAACCTGTGCTGAGTCAGCTGGGGCCTCGGCTGAGTCAGCTGGGGACCTTGGGGCCTCCAGTCGGGCAGTCGGGGATTCTCAGTTCTCACCATCGATCGCCCGCAACATCGTACACCGACACCGTCCGCATGAACGCCGGGCTCTCGCGCTCGCTCTCCGCCACCTGCTGATCCGTCAATCCAGCCGAGTAGATGTTCTCCGGCTCGGTGACGCCGCCAATCAATACGACAACACCCGACGCCGCGACCGGAAGCCACACGGCCTCGCCATTAGCGCGTCCAGGCACTTCGTTAGGGAGCGAGACGTTGGCAAACACACCGTTCTCCATGTCCGACATGTCGATTGTGATCATGCGCTGCGATACATTCGTGGCCGTCTCGTTGTCCCAGATCGGCCCCCAGCCCGGCGCGCGCATCCCACTCACATAGAATCCCATGTTCTCGCTCGGTGCAGAGACGCCAGCGCCCGCGGTGATGTACCGAGTGACGCCGTCGTCCAGATTGCTGCTCACGAATCGGGGCTCCCACTCGCTGCGCTGGGCGCCGTACTGGTACCGCTCGTATGCGAGCACCGTATTCGCGGGCGGGCTGTCGGTGGCGTCCGTGTTTTCCAGCAGGCCTCTGCAGTCTGGTTAGAACAGCCGAGAAACGAGAGTCAGTGTCTTGCTTGCCCGTAGAGGTAGAACATGCCGTCGTTGGCGAACATCACCCCGTCGTGGTAGGTCGGCGCAAGGTTGCCCGCGATGCCGCCGCCTTTTTCAAAGGTGCTGAACAGCGCGGTGAGGTTGTCGGACGAGGTGTTGAACGAGGAGGATAGAGGCAGTCTGTAGACGAGGCCCTTTGCGTTGTCGTCGCTGTTGACCTGTACCTGGCCGTTGGAAAAGCCTCTGCGCGGGTTAGCGGTCTAACTCCCTGCCATTGTCTGTCGCAACTTGCCTTTGGTAGACCAGGTACCCTCCGTCCAGGTAGACGGTGTCGCGAATAACAGCCGCTCGCAGCTGGCCCCATGTGCAAATCGAGCTGTTGATCTGATTCAAGACGTCGCCCTGCGCCTGCGACCGCCCAACCGTCGCAGCGAAGGCCAGCGCAGCCAGTCCAAGATCTCGCAGCATGGTCGGTTATTGAATGACTGGGAGAATCTTCATCGCCCGCATATATCGACAGAGTCTCTGGTCGCCTCTTTGCGATTGCAGCGGTCGCTGGGTTCTTTGTCGGGCTCCGGCTGAGACTGTGCGACGAGCCCGACTGAGGAGAACAAAGAAGCGACTCGGAGCTTATTCTCTCCGTCGACACCAACTTGGGAGGCGCAGTGATTCATGGAACGGGCAGGCTGTCTTTGTCCGGTAAACACATGCCACGCCCTCGGTCTGAATTGAGTCTGCGTCTGGACGAGTGAGCTGTGGGCAGCATCGTATTCTTGTCCTGTCAAGAGGGGGCACCCAGCCATTTACCCAGCCATTTACCAAGAACACGAGGCAGGTTTGCCGTCTGAGCACAGGATTTGCACCCTTGCAGCGATTCACAGCCAGTCACAGCGAGTGCGCCCTGCAATGTAACCAGAGGAACGCTGGACCGACATGGGTCGCGGATTTGCTGCCACTCACGCTGTTATCTGGCGTTCCACGGACTCAGCCTCAATGAGAATAGCTCCTGCTCGGCAGTTTGAGTCGAGACTCTCGAGTTCAAGCTGACAGCTTGACGTGTTGATCACAGCCCTAATGAACTCTTTTCGCTCTTAGACTTCAGGAGGCCTGACGATGCTCGGCCTTTCTGATCTCAGATCTGCCAATGCCTCCATCTGCAGCTAAACACTAGACCGCTCTGTCCCTGCCGTCACGTTCATCCTTCTGGCTCTACAAGCACTCCAGCCGAGCCTGACATGCCTTCCTTCCGCAACCTTGCAGAAGACTAAGTCATCCGAAGTGCAGCAGCCACGTATCGACCCTGCCCGTGTCTCAGATCCCCACCATCAGAGCCTCTCCCCTCGCGTTCCAGCTTTGCTCCCTCCATTTCCGCCATATAACCATGAATCGTCCCCGTGCCCGATCCGTCCATTCTCATCTCAAACAAACAAAGACTCCCCATGCTCTTTGTTTTCTTCTACTTCGGCCTCGGCACTCTCCCTCCAGCTGCCGCACCCTCCCCTCCCCCTGCCCATCTGAAACTGTCTCATCTCATGCTCGGACTCCTTCTGCCAGTTCTTCATGAACGCCTGCCCCTGCCAATTGATGAGTAGCGCGGCGTATCCCACTCGCTCTCTGTGCAGCAATTGCAGTTCAATTTGACAACATACCGGCCTGCAGTTTCATCCCGCAGCCATGCGTTTCAGCCCTTTTCTCCTCGTGGCGGCGCCCGCGCTCGCATGGGCGCATCTCGATCACGGGGCTGCGGGCTCTGCGGATCTGGACCTTCATGAGCACGAGTCTGTATATGAAACCGTCACTATCATACCAACGGTGCTTCTTGATGCACGCGGTGGTACGTATACCACCAAAACAACCAAGACGACCACCATCACTTCGTGTTCATGCACGGTGCGTATCCTCTTTATCGGCTCAAGGGCAAACTGACTGACGCTTTGCAGCTCACGCCGTCTTCCACTATCACTGTGTCGACGAGCACCTCGACCAGTACGAGCACTAGCAGTACCATCACCTCGACCTCGACTAGCACATCCAGCACATCAACAGCCACGTCCACGTCAACTCCGGTCATCCCCACCAGCTCGGGATGCTCAGCTGAGCCGCTGCCAGCCGTAACCTCCTGGTCGACAGCCTATTCCACCATCTATTCCACCATCACGCAGACCTTGCCCGCTGAGACTCAGACCCAGACTCAAACCCAAACAATCACAGAGACCTTGCCAGCGCCACCAGCCGTGACCTCGTGGTCAACTTCCTATTCAACCATAACCGATTATTCCACCATCACGCAGACCTTGCCCGCCGAAACTCAGACCCAGACTCAAACCCAAACGATCACAGAGACCTTGCCGGCGCCACCGGCCGTGACCTCTTGGTCAACTTCCTATTCAACCATAACCGATTATTCCACCATAACTGATTATTCCACGACCACCGAGACTCAGACCCAGACTCAAACCCAAACGATCACTGAGGTACAAACCTCTACAGAAGTGCAAACTCAGACCCAAACGATCACTGAGGTACAAACCTCTACAGAAGTGCAAACTCAGACCCAAACGATCACTGAGGTACAAACCTCTACAGAAGTGCAAACTCAAACCCAAACGATCACAGAGACCTTGCCAGCGCCACCGGCTGTGACCTCTTGGTCAACGACAACGATCTCTGAAAATACCTGCACGGAAAGTTGCTCATCTGTTCCTACTTCGGTCTCCACCGAGACGATATCAGTCACTATTACATCCCAAACGAGCTGCTCGGATGAAACTGAGACAATCACCAGCACGGAAAGTTGCTCATCCATTCCTACTTCAGTCTCCACCGAGACAATATCAGTCACAATTACATCCCAGACAAGCTGCTCGGATGAAACTGAGACGATCACCAGCACTGTCACTCAGCCTGGGCCTACACAGACCACCTGCTTGAGTGAGCCAGGCGTATCCACGGTTTGGGAGACGTCTTTCTTGACCCTGCCAGCAAGCACTTTGTACTCGACAATAGAGACCACCATCCCAGCCAGCACAATCTATTCAACAACCCAGATCACCGAGTCAGGCTCCACGTTCTTTTCTACAATTTCAATCACAGTCCCCGCTTCGACCATCACCAGCATCCTGGAAGAAACCTTTTACTCGACAGTTACCCTGCCAGCAAGCACTCGCTACTCAACTATCAAATACACCAAGTCTGGCTCGACATTTTACTCCACAATTTGGTCGACTGTCCCGGCTTCAACTATTATTAGCACACTGCCAGCTTCAACATCATGGATAACCAGTGTGTTGCCTCCGGTTACTATTAGCGGCTCTCCAATCACGAGCACTATTAGCGGCTCTCCAATTACTCTTCCAGGGGAGGTTACTACTTTACCTGCCTCGACAGTCACTCAGTTAACGACCATACCGGGCTCGACGATCACTCAAGTGGCCACGCTCCCCGCCGAGACGCAGCTGGCGTCCACGGAGACTTTCACGAGCGTAATCAGTGGCACTGCATCAGTCGAGACTTCTCTTCTCACGCAAACGCAGCCGGCATCCACGGAGATTCTCACGAGCATAATCAGCGGCCCTACATCAGTCGAGAACTCTATATTCACGCAGACGCAGCCGGCGTCTACGGAGACTTTCACGAGCGTAATCAGTGGCCCTACATCAGTCGAGACTTCTCTTCTCACGCAAACGCAGCCGGCATCCACCGAGATTTTCACAAGCGTAGTCAGTGGCACTGCATCAGTCGAGACTTCTCTTCTCACGCGAACGCAGCCGGCATCCACTGAGATTTTCACAAGCGTAGTCAGCGGTCCTTCGTCAATCGAGACTCTGGTAATTACCCAGGTGATAAGCACGACAGTGGTGAATGAGATACCAGGTAAATAATCCCCTATGCCGGCAAATTCTGAATAATTCAAGTAGAGGAACAGCTGCTAACGGATTAAAGGCCCCGGCACAACACTAACCCTTACTTCGACCGGTGTCGAAACCCTCCCCCCAGCAACACAGATAATCATCGGTATGTCCATGCCTATGCCCAACTCAGCCCACCCCATGCACGCCAACCTGCAAACAAATCCATACTAACAAACCACCCACAGGACCCGCATCAACAGTAACCATCTCCATCTGCCCAACCCTAACCACAAACCCAACCTACACGCCTCCCAAGCCCCTACCAAACGACTACACCTGGGGCTGCCGCCCCGGCACCCTCTGCCAACCGCACCACGAAATCAGACCGCGAGAATTCTGCGACTTCGAATCCGGCCTCCCCGCAGAGGACTACGTGTGCCGACCAGACGAGTGTATCCCGTCCCCGCCGCTAATCCAAGACCAATTCTGGGGCGAGCCCGTCATAGCCGATCAGGTGGGCACGTACAACATCTCGCCCAGCTACTTCAACATCAACCCGGGGCAGTTCGGACTCAATTACTCCATTTTCCGGGTTCCGGTAGACTACGCCGGCGTGGAGTTCTCGAAATCCAAGCGCGATGTCCTTGCAAACATATTCGGGTTTGCGTCTGGAAGTCGGAAACGAAAGCACAAGCGTCAGGAACTCCTGCAGGACGTCCTCTTCAGCGAGGTCTGCTACGACGAGTGCAACGGCGCCGCATTGGAAGCCGAACGGCGCGGCAAAACGGCTGCGCTCTGTGCGGCCACCTCCGCGTTCATGGATAAAGTGGACCAGTGTCAACGGTGTAACAAGCGGTTCCCGCTCGATAAGAATGACAAGGATCCCTTGACTATCCCGCCGGATTTGAATCAGTTCCTTGCGTACTGTGATGAGTTGCCTCGGGGTAGACCTACGGCTGAGGGGGCTACGGCTACGTCGACGAGCCAGAGCGAGACGAGGACGACGGCGAGGACGTCTGTGGAGTCTGCTTCGACGAGTACGAGTTCGAGTTCGAGTTCGAGTTCGAGCTCGAGCTCGAGCTCGAGTGGTCGGGATGATGCGGCGGATACCTCGGCCAGTGCCGGTGGGGAGTCGACTACGCTGTCTAGCACCTCGGGCCCGTCGGGTACCTCCAGCGGCAACGACGTAACTAGCACCCGGTCTTCGTCCTCGGACTCGTCCTCGGCTTCGGAGTCAGGCACTACTGTAACGGTCACGCAGTCCGTCCCAGGTTCAAGCGAAGACGCCACTTCGACCGCGTCCGGCTCGCAAGGCACAAGCTCGGAGTCGGACGGCGGTGATGAACAGAATAACGGCAATGGCAGCTCAGGCGGTTCTGGCTCCGCCAACGGCTCTCAGACATCAAGCGGAACAAGTCCAACGGGTGGCAGCGGCTCAGGTTCCAGTTCCGGCTCTGACTCTAGCTCAGGATCAGGACCAGGAGCCTCCGAGGCGCCTACGCCAGGCTCGACGCCCGGATCTCCGACCGGGGTCTCGCCGACGGGTTCAAGCTCGCCCTCGGCATCACCGTCTGCGTTTGCCGGTGCGGCGGCGAGGTTCGCGGTTCCCATGCACTGGGGCCTCATCCCCGCTGTTATTGGGTTTCTTTTGTAAGTGGGTTGATGAATTATGATGACGGTATGCGGAATGATTGATGGAGAATGTGCTATGAGAGATCTGAAGGCGGTTTCTTGTTCTTTTACACTATATGTAAGCCTCCAGGCGCCGCGTGATGATGATTTTATTAGTGTTCGTAGTTCACTTGTATAGACCCAATCCAGCTGAAGTTACTTTGAGACCTTGCGCTGATGACCTCCTGTAGAAGACGTGTTTAATCTAACAACTGGGAAGTAGATTCCCGGGCCGTCTAGAGAGCGCAATATTGACGGCGCATGCGGTCATCCCGGTCAACAAATGCTGACCTCGTCCATCCGGCCACGGTCGTTTACACTTGGGCCCAGGATCGGATACAGCCAGTGTTCAGGGCGTGCTAGGAAGAAAGAGTCTGGAAATCAATGATAATAAATGACAGTAATACAGATATGGCAGGAGCTTCACTCAAGTTTTGTCACTAATCATCAAAACAAACAGACGCATAGGTATATTGACAAATGAAGAACACAAAAGCCACTTGGCCTCATCGGTGGGAATCCGGTCGCCACCATCGCTGAGGAAGCGGACGTATACGGTAACTGGTCGAGAAGCCGAGGGTCGTTGTACTCTCGGTAGGCAACCGCTGAGGTTTTTCCCCCTTCGCTTCCCTCTTCGCAAGCATTCTGAACAGAATGCAAGGATCAAAGCCAGGTAGCCTCCCGTTCGCCAAGTGCAGGCACAGGCATTCCTTCCATTCTTGATTCCGAATCGCTCTCTCACATATTCATCCATTCCTACAATCCTTGCTTGCTCAGGGAAGCCGCGCATCACATGCACAAGGCCAGAGCTCCCCTAACGTGGTGGCTTAGGGTTCAGGGTAGGTAACCCTAAGCCGCAAGATTGGTTGTTGATACTGGTAGTAGAGCAGCGCCCTTAATGATAGGACCAGCCCAGACAGAAAATAGGGCTATCAAGATTCGGCCTGTGATGAAGGTGTAGGATTCTGGGATGCTGCGGTGTGTTTTATGTTCCGATGCCAATGGATGTTTTCCTGGTGCAAGGGGGTGCCTATGCTGGGATGTCGACAAAGCGCTGCAGTGTTTTGATATACGTTACAAGCAACAGACTACTTGAGAGTTCCAAAAGATCGGGCCAGCTTTATTAGGACCCGGGAATACGGCATTAGCTATATCATGTGAACATTCCGCGTCATTCATGCTTTTGTGTCTTTGGGGTGGTAGCTTAGACCCTACCATGGGACGTGCGCTGTGTACTTCCGCGACAAGCCGCAAACTTTACTTGAGGCGAGGCTTGCTTAAATGGCTAGATCCTGCTAATTGAAAGAAAGGGAAAGTGCGGAACCAGCCGGGCGAGTTGCAAGCAGTGGAACAATAAGGCAAGAATGACGCCCATCCAACCCACCCAGCTACCTTCCCCGTTGGCTAGGGTTGATCTGTTAAATACTTCCAAACATTCTCAAACTGCACTTTCTGAATCTTGTCCAACGCCTAGGGAATCTCACAGCCAAGAGAAAAGAATCCAAATCTTTCCCATCCACCGCCGGCACCGCAATGGCTCTCCCATACCCCGAAGGCGAATGCTTCTTCAAACGCTCGGCCCTGCATTCCCAAAAGAGCGGGGGCTTCAACGCCGACGACCCGGCGCACTTCTACAGCACGATGATGATAGAAGTGGTCTGGAACCGAGAAGCCCACCACGGATCCAAGAAATGCAACGAAAACGGCAAGCCGCGCGGCCATCCGCACAAGAGAACGGACTATAAAATCGTCTACGCAACCAGCTGGAATACCGCCTACGGAAACTGGGCCTGGTTGCCGATTACATACGGCAACGCGAGGTACCCGGCTCGACGGGTCAAGCATGAGCTTTGCACGTGGGGATATCGGTTCTATCAGAGGGAAGTCGGGGCCGCGGAGGAGGTTTGTGTTTCTGTTTCTTCTCGTTGCTTTCGCTTGGTTTCCACTTATTACTGGCTGGGTGTTTGAGCTAATCGTTTGCACAGGCGTGGTTCATGTTCGTTCCAATGCCGACGAGAGAGGAGGAGTGGATGTGGATAGACGTAAGTCGCTGGGACCTTCACCTTCCTTCTTCCACGCTTGGGGTAGAGATAGATTAACCTGTCCATTCCAGCGCCTATGCTGCATTCGCGCCATCTACATCCCGGCTGCATACCAATCCGGACCTAAATACGAAGAACTCTGCACCTACATCCACGTCAACTTCACACAAATGAAGAAAATCTCAATCGAGCATCAGAAGCGCACTTCAGATGGTGAGACAGACAAGGATCCCCGAACAATCAAGTGCAATGACAAAATCGGCCTCGCCGTGGACGAAAAGACCACCCTCGGCATCAACCCAGCCCGCCTGATCACCGCACTCGTGATCCCTCGCGACAAGCGCAAGGTCGGCGCCCTCAGTTCCAAGAGCCTAATCCTGATGGACTCTGACGACATCCCCGACGCGCCGCTGACACAGGAATTCAACAGCCAGTCCATGGCGGACTGGGCCAAGGTCGTCAGCCAGAACCAGGGGTTGAACATCAAGTGGGGAGAAGCGGACGTGAGCATGCCGTGGTTTGCCCGTTATTTCAAGAACGTGCTCTCGTTTGCCATTGGCTATGTGCCTGTCTTTGGACCCTTGCTGGCCATCGGCACGAATCTCATCATGTCGGCCATCTTCGAGGCGCACGAGGACTTCATGGACGAGCTCCGCGAGCAGCTGCCGACCTATGATTTGACCGCAAAGTTCGTCGAGATTGTCACGGTGGATGCGGAAAACGCAAAGCCCATGGTGAAGGAGGATGTCCCCTTGAAGAAGAAACAGGACGAAAAGAACTACGTCGAATTCGACGTAGAGGTTCTGAAGAATGCCCAGGAGGCAGTCGAGGCCAAGGCCAAAGGTGAAAAGGGGACTGAGACGAAGAAGCAGTCCGTTTTCCACACCCTTGACCTCTCAACCTTGACCAGATTAGCCAGGGATAATCACGCAGCCATCATTCAGATGCTGGACCCGGAGGGGAGTATGAGGCATGAATGGAATTACGGTGATTGGGACCAAGGGCCTGATGCTAAGCCTCCGCAGGTTCCGGAGATTCCAGGAGATGCAGACGGGCTCGCAGACCTGTTTGATGAACTGAGCAAGACCAAGACTGTTAAATACCATGAGGGTTGGGATGTCGCTGATCTGCCTGTGAACAAGTACGGCACTCAGAAAGAGTATATGCAGGCGAAAGAGAAGGAAGCGGTCACTATCAAAAAGTGAGAGTAAAGCAGGAAAGACGGGAGTTAAGACAACGCTGATTCCCTAAATAAGGAAGTGCTTAGAGTTGACTTACTAGCAGATCAGAATGCAAGACCAGTCCTATATTCGTATAATGTAAACTAAGCCTTCACGCTCCTTGACTCTTTCTTAGCGTCACTTCTGCCTACTACATTGAAATGGGCTTAGACTGTCACCAAAGTAATTAACAGAAAGTATTCAAGCTAGCTGGAGTGGACAGCTAAGTTCAAAGCCAAAAGTAACCAGAGGGAAGAAATTCTAGTTGCATTGCTTCCGCTACAAACACAACGCTGGTTGGTGCGGGCCGTCAACCTTGTATTCCTTGTTCTTCCTGGTACATTGTACGCTGACCTGAAAGGATGTGCGATGTCTTTGCGTATCTGCCTTTGAATGCCCTTTGTTCTACATCATGTAGGCCTTTGGCAGGGTCATTCAATTATCCTTTCAATGTAGCGTTCAATGTAGGGTTCAATGCCTCGTAGGTATTTCCCCGGGGATTGGCAATATAAAAAAAGCCACAGTATCCCTGTAAGTGAATAAGACACACCATTCACTACTATATTCATCTTCAGAACCCAGATCTGTCTTCACGCTACACCACTTGCAAATCCATTACGTCCCTGCCCAGTGCTCACCGACAGATACCCAATCTCTGAAAATGGTTCTTGGTTTCGAGGTCCTTGGCCTTGTGGTGGCCCTGGTTGCAGGGATAGTGAAACTCGCCGAGTACCTGATCAAGTTCTATAAGAAGTGGAAAGGCTTGAGCACGATCTTAAAAGGTCTTGAAAGGCAAATCGCGTACCTGCAAGCTGACTACGAGGTGCTCGATAGGCTGAAAAGCTCAATCGAGCAAGCAGGCGTGGCTTTGGGCCCAATTTGATAAGTCTATTGAGAAGGAGCTGGAAGGTTGTCGAACAGATGGCCTCCAGTTAGAAAAAGACCTGGAGGGGTGTCAGAGAAAGTTGCCAACTGGATTGCGGCGCCATTTCACTTTTTTTCGCGCAAGGACAGATATAAAAAACATTAAAGCGGTCTCTGTGCAGGTCACAATGTTTGCGACAAAGATTCGCCGGGCTGTCAGTACCATACGGTCCAACTGCTTTTCTTGAAACCGACGAACACTTCTGGCTTTCTTCTAGAGCTCTTCACGAATATACTGCACGCTCCATCCACTCGGTCGCCTCGGATCTTCGGGGTTTCGCAGATGAGAATCGGGCAACAAGTCTGGTGGCCAACCAACTTTTGGAAGAGGTTAGAGAGCTTAGGAGGTCGTCCATGGTAAGTCGCCGCTAGACGTGTGTATCAGAATGCTGACCTATGGCGTAGATTCCGGCTGGCCGCTCTGTTGGATGTGCAGAGGAGGGCATCCACAAGGCCAAGTCCAGTGTCCTTACTGAACATCATTCCCGCAACAGCTTTGTGTCGCGCATGACGGTTGACCGCTGGACACTTGCATTCCTGGTTTGTCTGGCAGCGGTAGCATGGATCTGGTTTACTTAATGTCCGGTGAAGACAGGGGTAGTAGCAAGTACCTTGGTCAGGGATACGTGGTAGGGTACTTTGTCAAAGAATAGATGACATAGAGAGAAGAACTATACCCAGAGTTCCGTTATCGTCTTCCTCTCTAGAATACAGAACTGTGTACCCATATACACTTGAACCTGCATTGTCCAGTACAAAGGGCTTGTGATGAACGGCCTTGCACTCGGCTTTGGCGCAGCCCTGGTCATGAAACAACCGGACCATGGAACACATGAATACCATACAGAAACACAAAGCAGCCTCGAGCCACGCTCCAGGTGAGGGTCTCAAAAGCAAATTTCAACATCGGCTTGTCTATAAATATCCCCGTCTTGCCACGCAATCCCACCTCATGTTCTACATCACGAGTACGCAGAACCACCACACACAACCAGCAAGCCTCTTCGACTTCAAGATGACATCCAACGCTTTCAAGACCCAGCCTGGGTTCAAAGAGGCATATCGGACGCTCAGACTTGCCGAGGCCGAGGAAGAGATCAAGGCCGTTGTCCCTGAAAGGTTCTACAAGCAACCGCCGCATACCCACCCCGTAATCCTGGAGTATCGCAGTCAACGCGAGGCGTCGTCATATCAAATTGAATCGGACATCGAATTATCTGACAACGATATCCACAGGTTCCTCCGCGCGTTTAACAAGGACGTGCAATACTACTACAAAGCCACCAAGCCACCATACAAGGCAACCATCGACGAAGGTGCCCCCGCACGATATATCAGCATCCTCGTGGACTTCCCAATGGAGGTCACACAGCCAACACTCTCCACTCTGGTTAGTACGTTCCCTGATATTTCAGGGTCCTTAACCGGTTCCTGGAGTTACAAAACACCCGCGCCCTCGGAAGACACGGCGCTCTGGCGGGTGCAATGGTTCCGGAAGGAACTGGTAACATTTAACTGGGGGTTCTGGCTTGTTGGCTACAACCATGGATCAGTGGAAGTCGACGAGGATAACAAGTTGGTTGCAGAGGACTCAGGAGCAGCTAGCTTTACGGTGGAGGAAAAGGCAGAGGCCCTGGCCGAGCTTGAGGCTGAGGATGATGGCGGCTATTTGGGGCCAGGATACGGCCTTTGCTACATCCCCGATAGCGCGTGGTATGGTCCTTAAGGAGCTGTATGGAACGATGTGCCTGTCCTGTTGGTTCTTTCGCTTAACCCTTCCTGTTGATGGGGCTGATTTGAAACCGAGACGTTTGTCCCTGCTGTATTGGGCTGCTTGGCCGGCCTGATAACCTGTTCGTTTCCATTCTGTCTTATCCTGATTTTGCTAGCTTTTACAATATAACATTACTATCTTTGACAAACCTGATTTCTACCCTTGACTGGTTACCACGCCAGAACCTCCAGATACGGTCTCTAGCAGCAGCCCTATCTTACTTGAACATGGCGAATAAACATGTTTGTTTAAGCGATTATCTGTAGATTTGAAATAGCTTAAGCTGCTTAAGCCAAGGCCCAATACAAGGCTTTATACCTAGTTAGGCCCCTGCTAGACTATACCTCAGTATCCATCCACCTGCACAGTTCGATCCCTACAAAATCAAAGCCGCAGATAATACACATCTGCCTTCTGAAATCGATCGACTGCGCCTTTTCCGCCCTGCTACCACCGCTAAAGACCATCCTCTCTGAACCAATACCTTGCTGGAGTCGGGGGTGATACAAAAGAAGGAATGCACCCACCATGCCTTGCAGAGTGGTCGCCACACCAGTCCCAAAGTCGGAGGCATATGCCAACGCCACGGGCTAAGCCTTTCTTTACAAATCTGCAACGTGACGCCTCCGCCCTTGAAATGCGTTGTATGATAGTCCTTTGTTCGGTGGGTCTGGTTCTTGCCGCGCTGGAGGAGTTACAGGACCAGGTGCAGTGCTGCACGGTGATACTATCCGATCAGCTTGATGCAGTCTGCAGGAACGACGTGCGACTTGGCATCCGGCCCCATGGTTTAGAAGAATATGTCAAGTCCCAACAAGCCAGGAGCAAGGATTCCTGCGTCAAGCCGAAAGAAGAATGGGAGAGCTTCGCCGCCGAATACAAGACAGCGGCTGCATCTTGCTGGTTCCAACGACGCCACAGCGACAAGACAAGTGCCCTCAGTCTCGGGGATGAGCCTAGCCCTAACCCTAACGAGAGGGGAGATTCTCTGAACGAGGACAGCCAGAATGCAGAGGGGGAAAGACTACAACGAAAAGTCGGGTTGCCTTTCAAAGCTCGCGTAAAGCTGGGGGTGATGAGAGTGCGACCTTTGAAGCTCTGGAACTAGAGTACACCGTGTAGACGCGCAATGCATGTCCAGTGCAGTGCTAGAGAGGAAACAGCGTTTATTACAGACCTATAACAGGACTCTATCTTCGCTGACCGTCGAGCGTTTGAGCCAGGCCAAGTCATAACCCGCCACAGACTGCCAGAACTGGGACTTGACACATATACGTTCCTGACCCTGTGGTCTAGCTCGCTATGTACCCATAGGGCCAGCTAGTGTGAAAAATGATTTCAGCCACACCACCATGTCAAGGCTTACCTATAGCAGCCCATGCCATAGACAAGTCACGTCCAAGCATCTGCACGTTCCGTAGCCCGCGTGAAGATGGTCGGCATACGGAGTAAAGCCACCCATGGCGGCCAAGCTCGAAAAAAGGAACCTCGATTTCGTCAACAAACATGCCGAACTGCTTTGGTTCTATGTCACGTAGGTCCATCTTCCTTTCTCCCGATGGCCGAGAGGAACAGTCGGGTGGCAATCAAGGATTCAAGGTACGCAGTGCGCAGGGTTCTCCGCAGACTAGCACGAGCGATGCAGGTTCCAGCGCACTCCCAGCCTATTACCACAAACCGGTTTCCCAACCACCTTGACCCCTGTCCGTGGAATGTTTGTCTCGGTGCTGGAGGCGAACGTACCCTCGGGGGCAGGGATCGTCCGAGCTTCGTGCTAGGACAGGCCGAGCCGATCGGTTTTTCCACCACTCATGTCGACGGGCGATATTAAGTGTCAAGCTTGATTAGCGGTTGACGCGGTGAATGGGCAGCTTGACAGACTCGCGGAAATGGGTCGCTGCTCTTAAACAGTTAGGTGCCGATATCCCTGCGCCCATGTAGTCCATGGTCATTCAATGTGTCGGTGCGGTTTTCTAGATGCAAAGGTTCTTGCCTATTGATTGATGTGTCCAAAAACAGAAGGCCCTTGGAAGCCATGGATTCGGGGGCTCGAGTGTGCCCAGCCGGCTAGGAACCGCCTCCGCGTCAGTCTCGGGTTGAACGACACCGAGCGACGCAGGGACGTTTCATGGCTGCACTTTCAGGTCTCCAGACGAAACTAAAAGCCAATAGACTCGGTTTGGCTTCGCTCCACTCCACCTCCCGAGCCCTCGCTAGCACTGGCGGGGTTGAATCCGGGAAAGGGACCATCGAAGCTGTGACCGTTGAGATTAGTCTTACGCGTCCATGTCTCCGAAACCCTAGCGACGCTACCGTTGACCTGCAGGGTTTGAAGCGGCCTAACGTACACTATCGACTACCGAGTGGGTGCCAGGATTCCGTGGAGGATGCTTAGAGCGTGGCTCTCCACACGGCGACCCCGATGCTTCCCCAGATTTCGTAACGCCGTCGTAATAGTCGGTCACCATGCAGAACTATATCAATCTGGGGATACGGAAGACCCCTGATCGGGTAGTCCGCGTGCACATCAAGGATCGCTATGGTGCGCGGTGAGGTTGGCTAGGAGTTAGGGCCTCCGATTAATATCGTTCGTCCGGGTGGATGGCGTAGTAGCATACATTGCTGCAGCGCAGCAACGTCTGGCTCGCGTAAACGAGCGACGCTGACCGCAGATGCAGGGGCTTGTACCTTGAGTTATTTACCTCGGATATCCTCTGCTTTTACGGTTTCGATGAGAACTTTGTTCAATCACCGTCAACCGATGTTTCATCTCACAATGCTAAGTCCGCTGAGAACCGGGTATGGAAAGGTGACCGAGGAGAATAGGTTGGACAGGGTGCATAGGGCCTGTGATCGATGCAATAACTCTCGGACGCGCTGTAGTGGGGAGTTGCCATGGTACGTCAATCCCGAAGCTGTGACTGTCAAGAGATGGCTGACGATGTTTATGTGAAGCCGTCGATGTCATAGTAGGTGCTTCAACCTTCTCGCGATTCCATGCTTACAGAAACAGAGCTCGGCTACGCCTGTCAGTTCGAGCGCACAGTCAAGAAACGTGGTCCGAAGCCCAAGTCTCAGCGTACTAGCGATAAAGTCAAGCATGACCTCGACACAGGTTTAAAGCAACCCACATACCCATCGCCAAAATCACCGAGCTCGGATGATATTCCTTGGCTACTCGAGGGGCCATCGCTATGCACAGGCGCGGAAGGGAGTGCACAAATGATCGATTCAGACGTCCAATCAGCCACTTCAGAAGTATGCTCCAGCATAGACGTACCCGGTCCACTTGCAGCGAATATGGCATCGTTCATGGCGATGGAAGCTACCATCCCCATCTGCGGTCATTTCCCGCTTGATTTGTCGCCGTTCCCTATATCCACTGAGGAGATCAGCAGTATGCCAAGCTGCCAATATCCTTGCCTCACTCGTATTGTTCCCCTTCTGCGAGGAACGATGACGGCAGACGACGCATGTAACCTGCTCGATATATTCTTTGCAGACCCTGAGACGGCAGGTCCTGCGTCTCGGTGCCCCTACGTCCTTTCACCGGTGATCAGAAAACAGTCGCTTTTGCGGAAGAAGAATCCGCGACCAGTGTCAGCTGCTCTCCTGATGGTAATTCTCTGGTGTGTCTCACATACAGCCAACCTGGGAATCTTTCCAAACGGCACTGTCCGCGCCAGAGTCACGCAGCGTCTGTATTACCTGTCAATGAAGCTGCTGCGAGCGAGGGATTCCGACAATTGGCATCGTGCAGATGGTAAGTGCGCTTGCTCCAATTGCACATGTTGGTCTCTTCAGATTGAACCTGTCTGACAATACTTCGGAAGGTGGCTGGGTCTCGGAGTGCGACATGCCTCTCTACGGGACGAGCGTAGAAACCATCCCCTCGCGCTCGCCTCAAGAGAAACCGGACCAAAATGTTGACGATGTGCTGAGTTATATTCTTCTGACGTGCGTGGTATCCGGAACGGAGTACAGAGAGGAATGTCTCAAGTGGTGGAACAAGGCTGTACGCCTGGTCAAGCGGCTAGGATATGACTCGGAAGCCCGCATAGCAGAGAACACGCCCTCGTCGCAACAAATGTCCTTAGCTGCGCGCGAAGATCACGAAGAACGCCGGAGGGCGTTTTGGCATGTCTACGCTCTCGATCGACATCTTGCATTCTCTTTCAACGAACCACTGCACATACTCGACTTCGAAAGCCAGGTTCTGTGTCCGCTGCCAGAATGCATTTGGCAGCGTCTCGACCAGGTCCCTTTGGGGGATATTCCACCGCGCACCGTTGGACCTCCTGCGCAGGTGACTGGTACCGGGTTCTTCGAATACTTTCTTCCCCTTATGACGATCCTCGGCGACATTATTGAGATTCGTTTGCGGAACCAACACCCCCGGCTGGGAGGGGTGGACGAGAGTTCTCTCATGGGACTCACCCAAACGCTGCTCGACGATTGCCAATATAGTCTAGACATCCTAGAGGCCATGAGTAAGCCCTTCAATCCTATCATGGGGGAGGATAACCTTCCGCTTATTCTGCCAACTTCGCCCAATTGCTTCGGAGATACAGCGGACCGGGCAAACGGGGCTGAATCCGAACAGCAGACTGGCAATATCGTGGTGGCTTATAGTCGATATATGCTGCAAGTGCTGCAACTGCTTCTCCACGGAGATTTGGACGCATTCAATATGCCTCATGGCCACGTGAACTGCGCACCGGTAACGAATCTTTTTACATGTATGCCCAAGGCGCTTACAACGTGCGATAGTATTGAGAAGATTCTGGAGGTCGACAGCCAACTGTCGTTCATGCCCTACATCTTCGGACCTTACCTATTTCACGGTGGTCTCAACTTCCTGTCGATTGCCGATCAAATGGCGCGCGCTGGTGCAGACGATCTGGCCAAGCATGGCTGCGATCTTGTTGTCCGCGCTCACGAAGTAGCGCTGAAAGCGCTGGATACATCTTTCCAGGTAACTATCCGTCCATTTGCAGAGAAGAAGTGATTCTAACACGTCTCAGAGAAAGTTCACGCGCATTATACGGCAGTATACATGCTCTATCGGACAATTTGGTACCAGCGACATACGTTATCAGAGCGGTAATGGCTCGGGATTGTAGACTTGGTCCTATAATAGTTGATGTCATTGATTGGGATTAAGGGCCCGCTGGTTCGTGAGTGATTCTTATAGAGTTCGCAATCTATTGTAATCGATGTCCACGGGCAGGGGGCTCCCGTGCTTAGTACGCTTGAGGTCCGTCCGTAGCAAGCAAAGGGGCACGATCGGGTAGCTCTTGTTGCACCCTTTCTTTTGCAAAATCGCAATCCCTCCCACGGAGGAAGTTGATCGGAAGAGCATATTCATGGCCAGCAGTGGGTAACGTCGTTTTAGCACTGCGCGGGTTGCATAATCAAGTCGCTGCGGGTAGAACAGGTACTTTCGACTGGGATCAAGGATCGATCGAGACTATTTCCCTCCTGGGATATTGCTAGACAATGCCATGGAAGCCCAGCTCCAAGAGCAAGCTCTTTGCCAGTAAGGTAACTCGCTATCTGTGAATTCCGCGTAACTTGACAAACGCTGGATTGTCAATGTCCAACCCGGGAGGTTGCGGTATATTGCTCAGGCGGTTCTGAGTCCGCCGTGAGATACTGCAGGCCACGTACTCGTTGTTTTGATCTGAATAATGAGTCAGGGACTGCAACTTCTCTCCGCAACCCTGGATAAGCTTGGTAACGCTAATTCCTGCAAATGGCGGTGTAGGGCTTGGCGACAAAAGGCCCATTGAAAGCATATGCGTGACGAGAGCTCCTATAACTCCATATTTGCACGCGGTGCGAGTTCTCCAGCACTCACCCAACACATTGGATAGTATGAGCTTATTACACTTCCCGTTCGTAGCTAGGCTCGAGTATAGGCTGTGAAGGAATTCGATTATACGGTTGATTCCTTCATTCCGGCCTTCGTTCAGTTGATCTATGGATTTTATATCAGTTATAGCCGTTAACGAACACAGGGGACACGAACCTATAATGACCCCAGGAATCAGCAGGCCGGCTGAATCGATCGCCTCGGTGCTGCTGACCTGCATGATTTGAGTAATTTTCGAGAAAATCTCTTTCCTAGCAAAAACCCATGAGATGAAGAGCCATGAATGTACATCGTCGTTGTAAGCTAGAGGGTGTGACTCCAGGAGGTCGTTGATCCACATGTCGGAAATGACTCCGACCACCTCATAACATTCGTAAAAGTCAACCAGAATGGCGATGTCAACAAGGGTCTCCATATCCACTTTTCGCGGAATCATGCGACTTTTCCCATGTATAACCATCAAGAGTAAAAGAAATGGAAGCGCCTCCCAGTCCTCAACCGTGATGACAACGGACCCCTGCGACTCGAGCTCCGACGCTTCCTTGAACCCGCCGTTAAACATTCGGGAAAAGTATGGGCAAGAGAAGCTGAGATGCTTAGACGAGGTTCGAATCCGAAGAGGTAATGGGACCTCATCGGCTGGCGTTTCGGTGTCCGATTCTTCAGTGGCAGCTGACTCGTTTTCACTGGCCGCTGGCTCGTCTGATACTTGTTCGGACGCGGGAGTCTCATCTGAAGTAGGCTCACCTGCCGAGGGCGTTGACAATTGCGACTCAGGAGTTTGAGAAAGTTCAGAAAAACCACCCAACATGTTGGGTTCCAGATCCGCCAGCCTGGCGGGCATACTCTTGGGGACATTGGGCAGGAGGAAGATGATATCGCCCGCGGGATCCAATTCGTACGTCAGACCGGGTTGCGAGAGAACGTCAGCCGCAGAGACAATGGGGTCATTGCAATTCTTCTTCGCTGCTTCCCCAGAAGCGGGGGTGGATGCCTTTCTCTTCATGGTTGAGGGTGGGGTTGTTGACGAGGAGAGAAATCGCGGAACTCTTTCCCCGCTGTGCTTTGGATGGCGCACGTGACTAGTTGCCATTCCAGACGGTCACGTGGCTAACCTGTTGGTACTGCAAAGCTTTACAACAGACGCCCAACAGACGGCCACCAATAGGCCTCTTCTAGGAGATTCGTTGAGCTCAAAGCTTGGGAACTGTATCCAGCTAGGCGTCGGAGCTGAAACTATTCCCAACAAGGTTGACTAAGCTACTAAGCGATGGCTGCAGTGGGGCGAGCAGTATAGTACGCTCCGGAGGACAGAAACATGTGTAAAGATCTTGACGACCTTGCGGGTCAGTCAGCTCAGTGGCGCTAGGCGGTGATTTAATATCTACTTAACGGCAAATAACAAGATGACTTTAATTAAGAATAACTTAATAAGTATAAATAATAAAAGGTCTAAATTAAAAAATATTTAAAAAACTAATTAAGGTACTTTAAATAAGCTATATTTTAAAGCCCTAGCCCTATTATATTTAAAGTAATAAGTAAATAAATTTAAATAGGTATTTTTTAATAAGTAAAAAAAAATTTATTAATAATTAGCCTAAGGTATCCACAAGTTTAACACACCCTTTTATATTAAATTTAATAAAATTAACGTGATACTAGAATAGGAAAAAAATATTAAAAAAAATAATTTTAAATTTAAGTTACTTAATAAATTTAATATATTTTATTAGCTTAAGTAGCTTTATAAAGCTATTAACTAGTTACTTATTTATAAAAATTTAATATATTTTAATATTTTTAAAAAAAAAATTTTTAAAGTTAGTAATAATATATATTAATATATTATAACTTAATAGTAAAATTAGGATTTCTTTTAATAAATAATTAAATAATTTATTAATTATTATATAAAATCTTAAGATTTTATTTAAAATTAAACTTTAATTTATTAAAAAGTCTTTTTTATTAAAATAAGTATTTACCTACTTTTAATATAGCTAAAAGTTCTGCTTTAGTTATAAAGGTAGTAATAGTTTATTAATAACTTGTTTTTTAATTAATTAAGCTATTAAATAACTTTATAATATAGCCTTTAAAGCTTTATTATTTATTTATATTAATATAAAATATATTAATAATAAAGGTAAGATTATCCCTAGTCGCGTAGGTAGTTATTTTAATATTTTTTTTAAATATTATAGCAAGCATGGTAATTTTAGTAAAATATTAAATTACTTACTTTACAGCCTTAATATAGGCCTTTATTAAATTTATAAGGTATTATATTAATTTATTTACGGCCTTTAAGGCCTTAGGTTATGTTTAAATAATTAAATAAAAAAAAAACTAATAAGTTATTAATAAAAATAAATATCTTACTTTTCTATGTAATATTTATTAGGCGCTAGTTTAAGTTTAGCTGGTAATAATACCTTTAAATATTAATTAAAATTAGGAAAATTAAACCAAGTTTTAAAACTTTTTATATAAAAGTTTTAAAGTAAGTAAATTATTTAGTTCCTATAGTTATATATAATTTAAATATTAAGAAACTATTATATAACTTTTATATTATAAATTTTATATATATTAGCTATATATTTTTTAAACTCCGCGGCTGCTTATTAGGCTTTATAAGTTTTTTAGTAAAAAATAAAAATATTATTAATAAAAAAAATAATAATAAAATACTTACTTATAAAAAGGTATTTTTTCTTAGGCACTTACTTAAGGCCATATATAGTAAGTTTTATAAAAAAATTTTTTTACTAAATATATAAAAATTAGCATAGTTTATATAAAGGCCTTAATAACCTTTATACTTTATTTTTTAGTATATATCCATGCGGAGTTTTTATATAAACTTTTTTATTTATAACGCCTTAAATAAAAGTATTTATAATATTTAACTAGTTAATTTTTAGGTTAAAATAAGCAACAAGCGCTATTATAAGTTAAAAAAGTTAAATAATAAGTATTAATACTATAGTATTTATTTTTATAAGTAATTAAAAATTTTAATATATATAAAGCCTTGCTTTAAATTTAGTTATATAACCCTTAATATTAAACTTATATTTAAATACTTATTTTAATAGTAATATTATTTTTTTTATAATATTTTTATTATTTTATAAGTGCCTATTATTATAAGGTTATTTATTTTAACTTTAGCCGCCTTAATTTACCACTTTTTAAATAAACTTTTTATTATTTTTTTTAGTTTTATGGCTCTGGTAAAGTATTATCTTAGTAAAGTTATAAAGTAAAAAAAAAAGCTATTATATAGCTATACTAAGCATAATAAAAAATATTATTTATTTATATACTAGATTTTTTATAAGCATGGCGTATAAATTACTATAATATTTTTTATTTAAGTAAAAAATATTATTAATTAAAGGTATATTAGGGGGCCTTTACTTAATAATTTAAAAAACTTACTTTTAAACTTTATTAAATCTTATAATTATATTTTTATTTTTATTAAGTATAAGTACGCTGTTATTTCCATACTTAAATTTTTAGTTAAAAATAATTATTTTAACTAGTAAAGCAAGAATTAAAGTTAGGTAATTCTTTTTATTATTTTTTTAAAATTTTATGTTAGGAAAACCACTAGGGGTGTTAATATTTATATTAAAAATTTTATTTATAGTAATACTAAAGTTAAATTTAAATAAGGCTATTTTATAATTTTTTAATATAATAAAAATAAAATTAGCTAACTTATTTAAGGACTTAACATAATTAGTTTAATTAATAAGTAGTATTTTATTAGTATTATTATATAACTTATAAGTTATAGGTTACAGGGCGTTAGTACTTTTATTAGCTATTTTAATTTTTTTACCCCCTATGCTAGTATTATTATTAATAATATATAACTTAACACCATGTTTAAGTTTAGGAGCCTTAATAGGCTTATTTAATTTATTTTTATTATTACTTTTTAAATCTTTTTTAAGCCCTGTAAAAAATAGTAAAATAGTATAAAAAAGTTTACTTTTTTTAGCCATGTATTTTTAGGCAGGAGTAAATTTATAATATATAAATTACTAGTAAATAATAAATTATTTAAAGTATAAAACTTTAATTTATTAAATATAATATCACGTGCTTAAAAAACTAACTAGTATAGCTTTATTTTAGGGTTTTATAATTTTTAAATATTACTAGTATTATATTTAATAAGATAACCTATACTAGCTTTTTTAATAAGCTTTTTAAATTATACCATGGCTTTTTAATAAAACCCCATGTAGCTATAAATATATATATTTAATAAATTAATAGGCCGCGGGATATTAAAAGCAGCTTAAAATTATATAAGTAAAATAAACTAGGTATTTTCTAAATCTCTGGCGGGCGTACTATTAAGAATATATATAGTTAATTTTATAGCTTTAAAATTAAGATATTTAAGGAAATTTACTTTTAAAACCATGGCTTGGGCACGCCTTATAATAAAGCCTTTTTAGTACTTTAATATAAAGTTTTATTTAAATATATTTTTAATAATTATATATATAATAACTCCCTTTTTTTAAATATTAATTTTAAAGTTATTTAATTTTATAAAGTCCTTATTATTATTATAAAGTATTATAATTTTATAGTTATATTAATTTTTTACCATGTTATAAAAATACTAAAAAGCAGGGATATACTTATTTTTATTTTTATAAAAAACTATAAATTATATATAAGTATAGTTATTAATAAAGTATAAAAGCTATTTTAGGCTATTTTATAACTTTAAGCTAAGCTATATTATATTAAAATAAATAATTTTAAATAATTAAGTTAATTTAAAAAAAAAAATTTTAAATATTTATTATAAAGTGTTAGCAAGCTTGTAAATAAAGTAAAAAAAATAATATTTACTAAAATCCCTATTTAAAGTAGTAATTTCTATCCCCAAGGCTAACTTTTAAAGTTATAGTACTAGCTTATTACCTAGGTGGCCTATATATTAATATTAAAGTTTAGTATTTTTAGTAAGCGCTCCTGGTTTTACTAATTATTAATATTTTACCTTAATTATAGTAAATACTCTTGCTAAATTAAGAAAGTACTTATTTATATATTATTAATTAAATATCTTAAATTTTTAGTATACTTTAAGGTAATATATTAACTAGCTATAACTATTTTTTATAAGGTGTTTATAAATATTAAAAAATAATTCTTTTTACTTTAAAAAATTAAGTAATATAATATTAATATAAAAGCCTTTAATATACACGCAGTTTATAAATTTAAAAATTTATTTTAAACTATTAACATAAGTTACCTTTACTAAAAACATACTAATTATGTTAATTATATTTAACATATTATTAATAAGAATTTTTTCTAATTTATCTAGTGTAGTTATATAAATATCTTTTATTTTAATAATATTATTATAAACATGTATTATAAAGATATTATTTATAACTACTATATTATTAAAGTTATATTTATTTATTATAGTGGCCAAGGCGTGAGATACTTAGTAAATAGTTATATATATTTTATTTAAATATTTTTTTTTGCCCTTGCCTTTATAAAAGTTATAATTAAGTTTTTTAAAAACGCCTTTATAAATATTTTTAATTTTTTACTTTATATTTAGGTTAGCTATTACTTTAAAAACTTTTTTAAAAGTATTAATATTTAAATACTATTTTTTTTAAGTATTTATATTAAAAAGGTATTAATAATAAATAATTATATAATTTTAAGCATAGGTATTATATTTTTTTAGCTTTTTATTTTTTTTTAGCTTGTTTTTTAGCCTTTAAGGCTTTTTTAAACCCCTTTACTAGCTTTTTTTTTTAATTTTTTTTAATTTAACTTTTATTATTTTTTTTAGGACTAATACCTCCAAGGGTAGTATATATTATAAAAGTTATAATAATAAATACTAATAAATTTATAGGTTTTTATTTACTTAAGGCTTGCTTAGCCTGGGCCCTAAAGTATATTTAATACTTAAAATATTTTATAATATTA